AATTAAGGGATGCCTGTGACCTCTTAAAATCCCTCTTTTTGCCTTGTTGCAGCTTGTCTCTTGCCTCTGTGCAGCCAAGTGACGACAAAGAGAAAAGTCTTCTCCTGAGCGAAAGGCCACTTGCCTCCTTATAGGGGAAGCAACTGAGCTAACTGCCTGTTGGGGAAGGACTGGCACCCAGAGGTAAGCGTAAAAAGGCAACACTCCAGAGTGTTCACTTTTTGTGTTTGTCTGGTTTGGGTGATGAGTGCTCCTTGGGCCATCCATGAGGCCCACCTTGTAAAATAGAGAAAAATAAAACCCAAGTGAGGAATAGAAACTCTCTGGAGTAGGACTGATTTACTCCAGTCCCCTTCGTTCCTTCCCACCCATTGACTGCCAAAGAGGAAATGCTGACCCTGTGAGGGGAAACAGGTGCCTTGCCACACTAGTAATTTACTAAATGTACAGTTTTTACTTACGAATTAGAGCTGACAGCTGCCTTCTTAGGCTGTAAATAATACTTTCAAAATGGAACATAAGAAAAGATAAGCCCCTTTTTTGGGAGAAGAGGGGAGAATCCTCCAGGAAGCTCTCCCTATTTTCCTTCCTTTCTTTCTTTTTTACTCTCCCAAACATGCCTTATTGGATCCACCCAACCTTCTAGCTAAAGTTTCCTCTGGTATATAGCTCTTGGGGTTTGTCAGAGAAGGTTGAGCAAGAGAAATATGAACTTAGCAAAAAATCTAGCTAACTTTATCTATACACTTGTAGACATACTGATTTTATATATGCAACTTATTTTTTGAATCAGACAATCCACAGGGTAAGCACTTTAGCATCCTTCTGGAGGAATAGTACTATTACAGTATTCATTACTTCCTTATCAGAAGCTATACCAGTGGTTCTCAAACTTTTGTACTACTGATCCCCTTCACATAGCAAGCCTCTGTGTGCAACCCCCCCTTTACATATTTAACACCATTATAAATGCTGGAGGCAAAGTGGAGTTTGGGGCAGAGGCTGACAGCTCGTGACCCCCCCATGTAATTTCATGACCCCCTGAGGGGTCCCAACCCCCAGTCTGAGAACCCCTGAGTGATACCCAAAAATCATAAACATTCAACAGACAGTACTAGCCAGAAAACCGAAGGGCTTATTAACCTGAGCGGCCCTGATCCTGCAAACACTTACACAGGCGCTTAACTTTATTGCTGTTGAGTATTTCTATTAAAATCCATGGAACTACTCACAGTAATAGTTAAGCACCCCCATAAGTGTTTGAGGGATGGGGGCCTAAATGGTTATATTCTTCTTGTAAAGAAGAAGTTTTAGCAGCTGCAAATTGATGATCTAACATATGCATTTAAGACATATTGAGTGTGTAAGCCTATGCTGAAGTTTCTATAAGCAACCAAAATAGTATTTGTCAAGAAATGGATGGATTCAGAGAATGCCTTATAGGTGCTTGTTAGGCTAACTCTTCTAGGGGCTGAAGTAGCGGTTGCTCAGTGCCTGCCTGTATAGGGGTTTTGGGCCACTGGATCCCAGTCTCAGTCTGGTGGCCTCTCCCATGCCCACTCCTGCACATACCAATGCATTCAGCACCAGTGTGTGGACCTTTGCATAATGCAGAACATACATGGAGGCCCTCAGCTGTGTGGGTGCTTCACTAGTACCCCACCTTCTGCAGCCTGACTATGGGGGACAAAGTGTTAGAGTGCATTCTCCCAAGACAAACTCCTTGCTCTAATCACCATTAAGAATTTAGTATTAAATGAACAATTTTTTATTTGTAGTTCCTGTTACTCTGATTTCCAGAAACTGGAGAATGAAGGAATACATCCACTGGGTAGATAGAATGTTTAGATTTTTACTGAGAACTGTCTGAATTGTCCATCAAGTAGAACCTGCACATTTTATTGACTATTACTGTAATTCATTCTCTTCTAATCAACAGACACTGTAAGATCAATGAGGTGACTTGTCTGCTTGGTCTATTGTTTATCATAACTCCCAAGAGGAAAAAAAATAAGAGGAAATCTGATTTAAAATGTCCATCATTAACATGGATGCAGATCAGCACTATGGAAATGGTTCCTGAGGTCACAGTAATGCATAGAATAACAAGTTTGTGGGTCTGGATAATACCTCCAGTAGTTCTAGAGGTATCCTACACACATGCACTCGCCACTTTCATATTCTTTATTTCAGAATGAATATATCAATAAAAGTTACTGAAACATGAGGAAAAAATGGTTTGCATCTTAACCACAATAGTTATTCTCTATCTGGACCTTATTTAAAATTATACATATGGAAAATCCTCATGTACAAATGGCATTATGGAAACTCTTGAACAACAAATGTGTTCAGTTTACAAGTAAAACAATTGTTTTTCTTACTGCCTGCACTAGCAGGCCTAAGTTCTGAGAGTCACTGAAATAATACAATAAGTAAACCGTTTCTTTTCTTATAGATTCCAAAGACAAAAGGTGATCATCTAGTCTGACCTGCTATACAACACAAGAACTTTCCCAAAATTCCTAGAGCATAATTACTCTGTTAAAATTGTATACCTTAGTTCCAGTCTGAATTTCTCTAGTTTCATCATCCAGCTATGGTATTGCTATACCTTTCTCTGCTAGATTGAAAAGCCAATTATTAAACATTTTCCCCATGTAGCTACTTATAGACTGTAATGAAGTCACTCCTTAACCTTCTCTTTTTTTATGCTAAATAGATAGACTGGAGCTCAATTGCTATAAGGTGTGGTTTCTAATCCTTGAATCATTCTCATAGCTCTTCTCTGAACCCTCTCCAATTTATCAACATCCTTTTTTAACTGTGGACACCAGAACTGGATATAGTATTGCAGCAGCGGTTGCACCAGTACCAAATACGGAGGCAAAATAGCCTCTTACCTCCTTCTCAAGGTTCCCCTGTTTATACCTCCCAGGATTGCATTATACACACAGTTTTACCTGCACACAAACCTTAAAGCAATTTGAAAAAAAATTAATTTTCAAGGAGAAAGTTATTTCTGGTTGTAATAGCAAAAATCATTGGGCAGGTACGAAGACATCACAGTTATGGACTCTGTATTCAAACCTATATAGCCATTAAACAGACACCATGTTTCTTCAGTTGAGAAGAAATTGAGGCCATGCAATTTTATTTCAGAGGTGTAAACTTCTCAGACATTTACAGGTCACTTAATCAGTTCTGCCACTTTGAGTGAAATTAAATGAAAAAAGATGCAGAAATGGTTGCTTCATGTAAGTAAAATATGACTTTTGTAGTACGTATCCAAAGTATTTTAAAATAAAATTAATTTAAGATTTTCAAAGTAGGTGTTTGTACAGAGCTTCGTACAATGGGGTCTTGGCCATGCCTGGGGCTCCTAGGGATTGTGAAAATACAAATAATTGTAAGATAAGAATCAAATATGTTAACCTCCTGCCCAAAGTACAGTAGAACACAAGGCACAATGTTAGAAAGCAAGAGAACCATCTCTGTACCTGTTCCAGGACAATAGTGTTCATTCTATATTAGCTGCTATGATTAAATAAATAATCATTTGCTGTTATTGTGTGGTACAGGTAGACTGTTTAATGTCTAAAAGAGTCAACTGAGTAAGCATCTTGTTTTAAGTCCTGTTTTAAAGGACTTTTTCTTTTCTGAGTCTTGCAGGTAGATCCAGCTCCTCCTCTGGGACAATGAGGGACCAGCAGAATATATGTTTATTATTGGTATGTCAACAATGCATTCAAGTAGCCTATTCGCTGCATATAGATCCTGAAAAACTGGAGGTGGTATGTTGGCAAGTTGCTGGACAATGCAGGGAAAAGGAAAAATAAACAGTAATACAACTAAATTTTAGAAAGAGTAACTAAACAACCCCGGGAAGAACTATGCTATGGCAGAGGACTATTTTTGTAATTTTTTTTTGTGGGGGGGGGGGTCCTCTGCTTATCCTGTTGCATACAAAATGGAGGAAAAGAGGAAAAATGCAATTTTCTCCGAAACTCAGTGCCAGTTACATGAAAGGAAAAACATTCATTCAAGGGCACTGAAGAAGAACCATTTATGGAATGCTCCCTCTATAATTAAAGAGGCAGGACTGCATGAGCCAGCGCCCCAGACTACTAAATATCTTTGGCTTTATCTATTCTTTAGGGACAGCCAGGTCACTCTAACCAGGCTGCAGGGGCTACACAAGGTTCACTGAGATAGCTCAGTGGTTTGAGCATTGGCCTGCTAAACCCAGGCTTACAAGTTCAATCCTTGAGGGGGGCCATTTAGGGCTATGGGGCAAAAATTGGGGATTGGCCCTGCTTTGAGCAGGGGGTGGGACTAGATGACCTCCTCAGGGCCCCTCCAACCCTGGTATTCTAGGATTCTGTCCCAAACTCCCAGGCAGCGTCCTCGCTGCCGCTGGATTTGTGCTGATGAACTGGCCGAGAAGCCTCCCTCACCCCTTAGCAGCCTTTGGAGGGGGCGTTTGCTAACAGGGCGGGTTGGCAGGCGCCATCTGAAAGCAAATCTACTGGCCTCACGCAACCTCAGCAAGGCACCCAGCGCCATTCAGCGGCTAGCAGCACACCAAGCGGGCAGCCTGCCTGATGGCGGGCTGGAGCAGCCAGCGCTCCCCCGTGCGGGGGCTGCGCACAAACTGAGCTGCAGGGGCCCGGCGACCCGCTGATGACACAGGGACGCTAGAAACACCGGCTGGCCACGACCCCATCCTCGGGCGGCGGCTGCCGCAGAGCCCGAACACCGCCTCGCAGCCAGCAGCGCCCCTCCCCTCAGCCGGCTCTTTTTTACGGTCGCTCGGCGGGCGGGGGACCTGTGGGCGGGCAGGCTGGAGGAGTGGGGTCCGCAGCCCCGCCCCGATTGCCGTCGCTCCCCTCTCACGCTTACCGTTTGACAACGGACCACATTTCCCATCATGCTCCGCGCCGCTCCACCAATAGCGAGGGAGCTTCTTTGCCGGCTGCGGCAGGAAAGGACCAGTCGTTGCGTGCGCTGTTGCTGGGCGCCGGGGGGGCCAATCAGAGAGCGGCTTTTGTGGTGGCGGCGGGAGGGCAGTTACGGTTCAAACGCTGGCGGTGAGTGTTGGGGATCTGCGCGGGGTGCTCGCTGGGCGGCCAAGCCGCGCCCCCCGCGGGGCTGAGGAGAAGGGGGCGCAGGGCCCGGGGCAGAGGCACGCTAGGAGACAGCCCGGGTGCTGCTTTCACTGAGTTAGCGTCCTGGGCTCGAAAGCGTGACCCGGGCGCATCCTGGAGCCTTTCCATAGTCCGCCGTCTCCCACCGCGCGGGGGTAGGAGAATCGGCTAGAAATCCCCTCCCCTTCTTAAGCTCGGTGGCTCGTGCTACTGCTTGTTTGCTAGGTAACCAGGCTTAAAGGCCCAGCTCCTCAAAGGCGTCTAGGCACCTAACTCCCATTGATGTCGATGGAAGTTAGGCACCCAAATGCTTCTGAGGAGCTGGCCCAAAGTAACTGCCAGCTGCGTGGCACCGGCATTTGTGATTGCTGCCCTTGGACCTACAGCGTGTTACAGCCGGACAGTATTACGTCAATATGAACTGTCTATATGAACGCTCAAAGGCGGTATATAAAATCAGGAAAATTGGCTTTTGTGAGAACCCAAATAAGGGAATAGTAGCAGAGCACCCTTATGGTGCAAAGCATCAGCCATGAAATGTGTTTTTAGGCTGAAAAATTAAAGGTGGCATTATGGGGTTTCACATTAACCTGAAAAGTCAGTCTGGAATCTGAAAGTCAAGCAGGGCTCTCTCTGGCTTCTGCATTGCCAACAATAGAGATTCTGCAACCTGATTTAGGTCACCCTTTTGTTAATAGTGTGATACAGCTCCAGGAGAGTAAGCTATGTTGTCTTTTCAGTGCAGTCCAGGTAGGAATAAAACGTTAATTCAGCAAAGGCTTCTGCACTGTGCTGACTTCCAGTGAAGTCACTGGAAGGACACAGTGCACAGCTTTAAATACCTAAGCCTGCAAGATCAAGGCATTAGCAAAATAAACAGAAATGAAAATGAATACATACAAGAAATGTCTGCTGAGGAAGTGTAGCCACCAATCCTTTATAGTAATTCTCAGAATAGAACTGCCCGCAGACTGAACAGTCTTGCCTTTTTTTTTTTTTCCTTCTCATTGTTCTTTCAGGCTACACAAAATCTGTTTAATTATGCGTACAGCATCATTAGTATAATGCATGCATTAATATTTACAGTAATGCATAATTATATCTGTGCAATATATTTTGGTACACTGTCGTGTTTAATAGATGTTTCAAATGTAAATAACTCTCTTTTTAAGAAAAAAGAAAAGGAGTACTTGTGGCACCTTAGAGACTAACCAATTTATTTGAGCATAAGCTTTCGTGAGAGCTGTAGCTCTCTAAGGTGCCACAAGTACTCCTTTTCTTTTTGCGAATACAGACTAACACGGCTGTTACTCTGAAACCTCTCTTTTTAAGGGAAAATTACTCAGTCCATAATAAGGACTTACTCCTGGATGGGCCTGGGGAGAAGGTGACTATAAGGTAACAGCAACCTGAAGCCATGTGAAAAATTGTCTCAAATGTTTATTTTAGGATTACAGTACGCTACCCAGATGATAAAACTTGTAGGAATTCTCCCTACTCCCATGATTGTTACCAGTTCAATATGTAGCAGCCATTTCAAAACATTCTCTACTTTTAGACCATAGCTAAATCTTCCTACCGGACAGTATTAAATAATCTGATTCTTATTCTGGAAGGGGAAAATTTTTTTGATTTTTTCCACAGTCAACTTTTCTCCCCTGTCTAAAATATGTTTAGTTCAGTTCAAAATGAGCTAGCAGATGTAGTTTCCCTTCTTTACTTGAGTGGAATACAGTATTTGGAGGTTGGGGGAAAAACTACATGCACAGTAATATGTCGTCACATTTCAGTATATCTTCTATTTTTCTGCTCAATGTGTGTATGATAAAACATCAGAACAGGAAGTAAACATGATGTTGCATCCTTGCATCAAACTGATGTTTGAGATAGACAGTTTTAGAGCTATTTCTATTCATAATCATGTTTTGAATAAACTGATCTAGACAGCACATCACTTGTAATATGGCAAATATAAGTAGTAGTAAGTTCTGTTGTATGCTGTAACATAACTGTTTAAAAGTAACTGATAGAGCTTTCAAAAACATACAAGAAGAACAGCACTTAAAGTTTCAACAGCAATCAGTATTGGGGAGAATACATCTCTTTATTAATCTATAACAGCTCAGATTGTCTTGTCTGATCGTGTTGTGCTTTTATGTTTGCTATAGCACTATGTCCCGGATAAAAACAGAAGATGAACTGATCCTTTTTGAAAAAGAGATCAAAGAATTTTGGACGAAATTCAAAAGCATTTGTGGTAGTGAACACATCAACCAGACTTTGGGACTAAGAGAATCATGCAAGGAGTCCATAAAAGCACTTTCAGGTACAATAGTCATGAGTTTACATAGCTAATTTATTTTTAACTCTGTTTTCAGCTGATTAAAATAAATGTCTTTATTACAGAGAAGTGGTCCAAGAAGTTAAAAGAAGGGGATCTAATGATTGACAAAATTCTGGAGTACAGAAATGGTATGGTATTGGCTTGTATTTATAACTTCTAAAATGAACTAAATGTGTTCTGTCAGAACAAAACACTTCAGCTTAAAATGGTTCAGTTAAAAGTGAACTGCAAAGCCAAAATGAAGATGGTATTAGACCAGGATTTCTGGTCAAAATGCTTTCATTAACAGAATAGGTGATGTTCTTCAAACCCAGAAATGCCAAAATCTAGTTAAAAGATCTGTCTTGTATAGCACTGAGTGATTTTGCCACTTAATAAGAAATGAATAAAGGAGAGTCTTGCAAAGCTCAAGAAAATATACCAGTTGTGGTACAAAGTCAGTTTACTGTGATAAGAAAACAAAAAAAATTACTTATCTGTCAAAGTTTACTTGTGCAGTAGAGTACAGTTTTGCACGGCTAATAACTTATTTCTGGGCTAACTGCCTCTCACATCCTGATTAGTGGGCAAAGTCACCTTGTAAATCTAGGATTAACTCACTCATTTTAGCTTTGCAAGTCACTGTAAAAAGTTAGGGATAAAAAAATCACAATGTAACTAGCAGTAGGTAGTCTACTGTTACAGATAGATCTCTTGACACAAAATGAGTAACGATAGGACCATTGCACACTTTTAAAGTGACAATATGCCAAGCTGCACTTTTGAACAGCGAGGAGATGCCAGAGGGCCTGCATTTAGAAGTTATTCTGTGCTTTCCTTCTAAGCACGTAAACCGTTCAGAATCATTTTTGTTTGTACGTGATGCTCGCAGTAGAAGGGCTGCCTCATGCACACAAGAATGTGGACTTCTCTGTCTCGGTGAAATAACTTATGCACATGTGTTTTTGTAGCACTTTGAGCATAACTTTACTCACATGAGTAATCTTAGATTTCTGAGGGAACCATTTATGCATAGAGCTATGCATGTGTACAAAAGTATGTGGAGAATCAGGGACTTATTTAACCAAGGCTAGCCATAAATATTCAAGTTTTTTCTTTTCCTCACAGAGATCCTCCAGCAGAACATATGCATTGAAGAAAAGCAAGAAGACTTAACTGAAATGAATTCCAAAATAAAGCATGAAGAAGAACAAAAGAGAGACTTTATTGATCGCATCCAAGAGCTCAAGGAAGAGTTGACAAGAAAAAAGGAAAGTAAGTTGTAAAATTGAATGAACATGAAAACACTCCAAGACTTTTGGAACGTGAAGTCTTCTAAAGAGTATACTGGTGGCTTTGCAATAGGTGTTTCCAGCACTGTAGCTGTGCAAATCTTTGTAGTTAGCATGTCAATATTGTAATGCTTGTACAGCATAGACAATAGTGGCTTAGGATGTAGAGATAATATGGTGCTTAGTTTGAATAGTTGTATATAAATCAGAGGTGGGCAAACTATGGCCCACAGGCCACATCTGGCCCCCAGGACCGTCCTGCCCAGCCCTTGAGCTCCCGGCCGGGGTGGCTAGCCCCCGGCTCCGCCTCTCCCCTGCTGTCCCTGCTCTGCTGCAACCTCTCACTGTGCTGCTAGCGCTCTGGGCGGCGGGGCTGTGAGCTCCTGCCGGGCAGCGCAGCTGTGAGAGCTGCCGGCCTGCCTTGGTTCTCTAGGCTGCGCAGCGGCATGGCTGGCTGTCCTGTTGCTCTGAGCGGCATGGTAAGGGGGCAGGGGGGTTGGATAAGGGGCAGGAGGTCCCAGGGGGCAGTCAGGGGACAGGGGGCGGTTGGATAGGCGTGGGAGTCCTGGGGGGCCTGTCAGGGTGTGCATAGGGGTCGGGGCAGTTAGGGGACAGGGAGAAGGGGGGGGGGTTGGATAGGAGCGGTCAGGGGACAAGGAGCAGGGAGGGTTGAATGGGTCGGGTGTTCTGAGGGGGGCAGTCGGAGGGAGGGAGGGGATGGGGACCAGACTGTTTAGGGAGGCACAGCCTTCCTTACCCGGCCCTCCACACAGTTTCGGAATCCCAATGTGGCCCTCAGGCCAGAAAGTTTGCCCACCCCTGATATAAATGGTCACTTATCAGTGGAGCACTGAATAAAAAACCTAAAATCCTGTAACTCCTCATTCTAACAAGCTATATTTTCATAACTGGCAACTACATGAATAATGCTTTGAATGGCAAAATATACTTTAAAGCATTTATTTGATTCTTAAAATAGCATTCATAATATTAACCAAATAACCACATGCTAGAGTGTGTAAATAATTAGTGCTACTCACATTTAAATGAATAGAAATGGGGTAGTTGTCATGATTAGGGAGATTTAACAAAGGAAGAACACTTGCTTTTAATAGACTTATTTTGAAGGATTTTCCAGTGTTCTAAAATTTGTTTGAAAATGCTTTACTCTTGCTTTGACACTTTTTAGTTATATCTGCTAAAAACAAGGCCACCAAAGAGCGGCTGGAAAGACTGAGTAAGTCTAAAGAACTGTTTGAAGAGCGGCTGGGGCTAGAAATACGCAGAATTTATGGTAAGTTTCTAAGTGCACGTGTGTTCAATTATTTACCCTAGTCATACCCCTGATAAGTTGGCAAAATACCATCACTCTCACACACGAGACAAATGGGGTAGTTTTTTTTTTTAATTGTGCTTGCACATAGGAAAAAAAAGTACTGTAGTATTTACATGGTTATGAGTGTGACTTATCTTCACTTGCGTTAATAGTCCATCTGAGCAGTGTGTTGCTGATTTGTTTGCTGCAAAGCAATAGAAATCCTTTCTTGCTGTTCTGTATGGCTATAAAGCAATAAAAATGTCTGCTACTGCCATAGGAACGCTTCTGACTTGATAGAGGTGAAATAAGACATATAGCTATAAAAGTTTCGGATAAACTAATCTCAATTTATAATGACTAAAATCTTTAAAGTTTGATACAAATAAAGATTTTGGACTGTATAAATGCGTCTTCTAATGTAGTAAAAAATCCAACATTAATTTTGTTTTGGGCACTCATTGGACCTATACTCAACTGTCAAGTAGTTTAAAGGAATACTCAAATAATTTAAGCCCAAAAGTTGGGTTTCCTTTTTTACAAAAAGAGAAGTCTAGGTTTATTGTACTTTTTATTGTTAGCGCAAGAATATCTTTTACTAACTGAAATTTAACTAAAAAGAAAAGGAGTACTTGTGGCACCTTAGAGACTAACAAATTTGTGGATGCCACCGAGCGTCCTATGCGAAGTTCGTGATTTTGTTCAATTCTATTTCTGCCTTTGCTTTAGATGAACAGTTGCAGTTTATATTTCGATGTATTGACCACAAAGATCCTGACAAGCCATACACGTTTACTCTCTCTATAAATGAACAGGGAGACTATGAAGGTATGTGTAGATATTAAAAGAGACTGTATTTTATTTAAAGTGGTTTTTGAACCAATCTCACATGAGAGGTGCACGTGCACACACACAGAGGGGCAGCAAGTTCCATACCGAACAGTTCAGTCTTTAGAATGCTACAGCTGAAGCTCTGTCCCAACAAGCACTGTAATTGAAGCCGTCCCTTGGCAGTCTCCTCCCAGCCATTGCGGTGCCTTTCTGAAACAGACCACACTTCAAGCTCTTTATCAGCCCTTATGCTAGGAACTGGCGGGGGCAAGAGTAGTTGGGAACTGGCAGCAGAGGGTAGCAAGGTTCAAGAAGTGGGCTAGCCAGGGCTAATAAGAACTGTTTCCAATTTAGAATCTGGACCTGGCCCTACCTTCGAGGTGCCAGAAACCCTTCCACCAATGCCCACAAAACCTTCTCCAAAACCTTAAAAAACTGGCCAGTCTAAGAGTTAGAACTGGTTTATTAGAAAATAGAAAGCCAAGTCCTGTCCTCTAACTTCTATGCAAACCCACTGCCATCAATGAATTTGGCCCAGGGTACCCATCTGGAAAGCATCACTTTAAACAAATGGGATTTCAGAAGAAAAAGTAGGATGTGCTCATGTAATTAAATCGCCATGCAGATGCACAAGAGGGCTCAATTAAGGTTGCACAAGCAACCTTAATTCTGGCATTTCCTAACTTTTGAATGCTTGATTTTGTAACTTTTAAACATTCTTTTAACGATAAGATAAATACACGACTGTTTCCCGCTCCCACCTTTGTGTGTATAAAGTGCTGGCCTTGAGATATTAAGCAAAGAAATGGCTAGGGGGAAAAGCTGAGAAAAGAGAAGTAAGTGAAGCATGAAGGAAGGAGAGGTAAAAGATAGGAAAGGTGTGTGTGAGTGACCATCTCAGTTTTTTTCACCTTAGAATTTTGTGGGGATGCCAACACTCCCAATCTGTACTTTTGGGAGCCCATTAATCACCAACACAACTTTATTTCCTACTGCTAAGAAATCAAAATTTGTGCATTAAATGGGAGACACACTAAAAATAGGGAACTCACTCATGCCTCTCTGAATGTTTCTATGTACCACTCAAATTCAGACTGCATTAATGATCCTTTCCTTCCACCATAACCCACATGCACTAAGGAAATACAACTTTTAGGAGCTGCTGTTCAACTTATTGCTCTCTTACTACAGGAATTTCTTGAACCTAATTTTCACAATAGAAACCCTATTATTCCTCTGAAATTAATGCATCAGAGAGCATGATGAGGGACATCTATTTTTACTATTTCAGGGAGAAACTATACTCTAATCCCCAGGGTCTCTTAATCTTTCTCTCTTCCCCCACCACTCGATTTGTCTGAAAACTGATGGAGCTCAGCAGTAACCAGTGGTCAGAACATGCTGCAGCTTTTGAGTCAGGGTAGGCAGTGTTGTGACAATAACTTGAGTAGCAGTGACAGCAATGCCACAAGGGGAAGGTCTGGGCATGACAGAATAATATTATGTGCTCTCAGACAAGGTGCTGTTTTCTTCTTGGCTGAAAGTCAGCCCATGGATTTTTAGGCTTAAACTAGACAAATGGAGCACATGCAAAGCTACAGAAAATGGTTAGATTACTATGACACTAAAATCAGTGAAAGGATAAGAGACCCTTAATATTATGAATGAAAATGCATCTCAGCTGGCATATAGCTGTTACCTGACTCATTAAATGAAAAATTCAAGTCACACATTGTGAAATAATTGACCCAATTTTGTTTTTGGGGAAGGAATACTTGACTAGAAAGTATCACAGCATGCTTCACTGGTCTTGGAAATAAAAATTGTTTTCTAATTGTTTCCTTCTAGTGACAAGCAGCTCTCCTCCTCTGGACTGTATAGCAGAACTCCAGCTAAAAGTGAGAGAAACCAACAACTTTGCTGCATTTGTTGCCAACATCAGAAAAGCTTTTACAGCTTTGTCTTATAAGTAATCTGCAACTATATGTAAAACTGGCTTCATACCTCTCTTCCTGTCTCTATGTGCATTCCCTGCTCTTCCTTTTTGTATTAACATAACAGTGGAGTGAAAGGAAATATTAAATGTATGTTTTTAATATTCCATTTTCTAAATAAAGAAAAATGGTGAAATGTTTTAGTCCATCTTTATCAGCCAGATGTATTTTTGGTAACTCATTTAAACAATTGAAGCAAATATTTCTTCAGTCCACTGTCTCCGCACATGTAACTGTGGACTGGCTGTCAATCCAGTCACTAAACTTGTAACTCAAAAGAAAGCCAGCACATCTTCAAGGAAATAAGACCAAAGCAATCCAATAGGCCAGTGGTTCTCAAAGCCGGTCCGCCTCTTGTTCAGGGAAAGCCCCTGGTGCACTGGACCGGTTTCCTTACCTGCTGCATCCGCAGGTTCAGCTGATCGCGGCTCCCACTGGCCGCAGTTCACTGCTCCAGGCCAATGGGGGATGCAGGAAGGGCAGCCAGCACGTCCCTTGGCCCGCTTCCCGTAGCCCCATTGGCCTGGAGCCGCGAAACGCGGCCAGTGGGAGCTGCAATCAGCCAAACCTGCAGATGCGGCAGGTAAACAAACCGGTCCGGCCTGCCAGGGGCTTTCCCTGAACGTTTACCTGCCGCATCTGCAGGTTTGGCTGATTGCAGCTTCCACTGGCCGTGTTTCGCGGCTCCAGGCCAATGGGGGCTACGGGAAGCGGGCCAAGGGACGTGCTGGCCGCCCTTCCTGCCCATTGGCCTGGAGCAGCAAACTGCGGCCAGTGGGAGCCGCGATCAGCTGAACCTGCGGATGCAGCAGGTAAGGAAACTGGTCCAGCACACCAGGGGCTTTCCCTGAACAAGCGGCGGACTGGCTTTGAGAACTACTGCAATAGGCTATGCTAAATTTACCCTCAAAGGATTTGACTCCTGCATTTAAAAGCTTCCAAAAGAATCAGGGTACTACATTAATAGAGGTATTTCTATTCATTCAAAAACTTAGCCCAAGAGTAAAGTAGCAATCACTTTGCCTTTTAATAAAGGCTTACAATAATAGAAACGATCACACTCCGGCTCTACCATCAGTGGAGAGAAATGTGCCAGTACGCTTGGTTCAACAAAAGACTGAAGGCAAACTCAAGCAACACTGGGCAGATTTCACTTCTGATATGTATCACATTGGCAAGGAAAAGACCTTGATTATTTAACAAACTGAACAATTTAAAGAAATATGGTCTTTAGGCACCTCAGTGATCTTAATTATTTTCTTATGCTTCTGAGGATGTTTCATCTGTGGAAATAGGGAACTCTTCCACATATGTAGCAGGAAAGAGACCGTTTCTCTCCTTAAGGGTCCCATACCACCATCCATTATTATCCTTCTGGTGAATGATAATGTATTTTTATTAATTCAACTGGATTTATACATGTGTATTGTGCCATTTCTGCATTGACCCTTGTTTAATACTTCTCTCTTCCCCTGTCTCCTTTATAGCACAGTCTAATTAAGTTTAAATGTCTCTGGTGGCTAGTTTAAGACGGAATTAAAACTGGATGACAAACCATGCTTACTACAGCATTATATCATGGCCCTATTCTCCATTGCATTCAGTCTCATTCCTCAAACTAGCGTTTCAGCTGAAATAACGTTTGGAAAAAACAGGAAGATGTTAATTACCTTTTTGCAAACTTAGCTCGTCATCACTTTTAGCTTGATAGTCATACAAAGTCTTGCAGATCCCATTTGCTGGATTGCTGTCTCCTGGTTGTGTAAAAAATCATTAGAATACAATCACTAACAGCACAAGTAAAGCAGGATGAAATAAAGAGGTCTTGTGTAATAATAGTTTCTTAAAGTTCAATTTTATAGGCCTATGGCCAAAGGTATTTAGGTACTTACTTACACATGCAGACAGGCACCTAGTGGGATTTTCCTATCGATTTTAATTCGTTATAGGTGTCTAGGCACTTCTGAATATCCAACTGGGGCCCTGTCCGCATTATTAGGCATCTCAATATCTCTTAAAAATCTGGCTCTTAATAACTAGCATGTCATTAAATGTATGCATGTGGAAACTATTATCTGTTTTGATAGTGAAAAGGCACAAACCTAATTTTTGGAACATGGTTATAGCTGAGAGAACATTCTGAGAACTATTTCAGTTATCTCAGTTAAAGCTGGAAGATTAGGTTGTGGAGCGTCCAGGTAAGTGAAACCCAAATGAGGATCTGATCAGACTCCTAATCAATGTTGATGGAAGTTGGATTAGGTTCAAACTATTGTGGGACCCCACAGAACTGTGAACCCTCTAACAAGGTGAACAGAGTGCACTGGGCCTAGAGAGGAGGTTCCTCCATCCCTCCCCTTTTCCCATACTACCCTCTGACTTCTGGAAGACTCTTCTGGCAGAAGACTGGAATTTCTGATCCGTTAACCACCATGGCAAACTTTTTTGGATTATTGTAGGACACTAGCATGACCAAAGGCTATCCCTATACTGATATGTCTGTGGCTAGGAATTTGGCATTACTATAATAAAGGACTACAAGTTGCCCATTGTTAAATCCACACACATATATTATCTTTAGCATAATTTATCTGTAATACAGTTCCCAGAAAACCTAATTGGGCAGTGATTCCTTTTGGCACATACCAATTGTCTTAACACAGATCATTAAAAGACATTGTGTTGGCTGATTTAGGCCCTAAAATCAGGTCTCTTTAAAAAGTGTTTTACAAAACTAAATCAATGGAAATGTTTACTGAATTAAGGTGAATTGACTTATGTCAATTTACACGTACACACTGGTAATTTTTTAAATTAACTATTGCAGCATTATGACAGAGAACCAGACTGTGAAGCTGTATTTTCTCTGTCCATGTTGAGCAACATGTGTAATTTAAAATAATAGCATAAATGCTGAAAAGTTAAATTACATTTGCAAAATCTTTGTTTTTAAGAGCTAAGGGCCTCATCCTGCAAACACTGCCGTTCTTAGCACATGGGGAAAAGGGATCATGTCCTGACATTCACCTGTCTCTCTCCTACAGAAGGGGAGTTCAATGTCTTCCACAGCCTTATACTTGCCCTCTCCTTCCACCCACCCAAACTCCTGCAAAGGGTACAACTGCAATGGAAACATATGGCCTCTGCAAGGAACCCCTGTGATTGTGAGGTTTCTGGACTGGGCCCACTGCCTACTCCAGAGGGGACACATCCCATCCATCCCAATAGAATGACGTGGGTAGGAATTCTGCGAGGATTTCCTGCAGAGTTTTCCTCCATGTTTTGCTGTGGGAGTGGTGATCCATTCAATAGAACTACTCTTTTAGTAAGTGTTATGCACAATGGTAAGTGTTGGTAGCATCAGGTCCTAAACTGTTAGCAGTAATATGCATAAGGAAATGTAATTGTTTTTAAAAATTTTAAGCCACTGTGGCCATTTAAAATGCATGTTAACTTAGCTAACAATGCCACTTGAGTACACAAAAATGGAGTACTGGAGGTGCCCAGTGATGTGGACACTGTCATTTGTGATATGCCGTTCACCACAGTGCTTCAGCTGAAAGTACCCATTCTGAATGCATATCCTGTGCTTCATTTGTGTCCAAGAGTAGAAGACCTTTTACCACCTTACGCTTTTCTAGTCACTTACGCATGTGCAAAGTGAATGTAAAGTAATATCAAGTCAGAATGGTGATGATTTAATCCCATTTGGCAGTGGAGAACTAGAATCCTATGTGCTGATCCAAGAATCCAGTGTGGAGTTACCTGGCAGAAATCTTGAGTTATTCCCCGGCCCACTGGCAGCCCCTCTGCTCGAGGTGTGCTCAAATCGTTTCATTTTAACACAGCAAGAGATGAGGACAGAACTATGTGCACAGTCCTGTTGGTGATATTTAAAAAATAAATATTAAGGAAATAATGAGAGCACTTTCTTATTATTTATCACCTACAGCCTTTTGTGCCCATTTTGAGAGGTTAAGTTTCTTTAGAGATTTTCATAAAGCACAAGAAACATTTTAGAAATAGATCGAGTTATTTGCAACCCCATAGCGTTCTGTGGTTTCTGCCACTGTACTACAGTCTGAGTTCTAACATTTAGCTAAAAGCTTCTAATATTTCTAACACAGAAGCCCACAGGAAGACCCCCATTAGGCCTGCCCCTGACATTTGATCTGTGGTGGTGGACTTCTGTGCCTGTACAGGGCCCCTTTGCCTTCAGTGAGAGTCCACCCCAGACGTACGGTCTGTCTGCAATGCCTGGGACAGACTTAGGGACTGAAGCCTTGGTGCTGCAGTATTACTAATAAACATTTAGCTGGCTCAGATAAAATCAGAACACTTTGGCTAGCTCTACTGGCAAGGGCAAGCCCAGAGCATTGTTGTTAATAATCTGAGCTACATCAAGTCAGTGATATAGAAAGGAAAATGGAATAGCCTTTTACTGAAAATGATAACAGATAGTACATCAACTTCTGCTGCACCAAGCATAGAACGAGTAATCGCCTGTAGAAGGGTTAAAGTACATGCTACGCAAAGTAGTAGAAAAGTGGTCATGACACTGATTACATTAACTGCTTTACCCTCTCTTTCCAGTTGGAGATACAGTCGCTCCAGGGATGTGTGGGCTTACGCTTCTGCTCTAGTTCTGCAAGTACTGTGGATAGTTTGCAGCTGTTTGCTCGCAAAAGGCTTGTTTTTAGACTTGTCTGCAGGCAAGTGGTTACAGTAAATATTAATGAAGTGACCTCATATTACAAGGTATCTTGATGAAAATATCAAAGGCAGCTTTTTTCTAAGAGAGAAAATCACGCTCTCAATTGGTTGTACAGGTCTACTCTTACTCTGAGCCATTGAAAAGTGTCTTTCCTCTTCCTTTCTCACCTATTTCATTCATCTGTCAAACATTGGCTTTAATTCTGGATACTCATTATTCAGATCTCTAATTCTTGGACTCTGGTACTCTTACACTAAACACCAGTTGGTTCGGTCAAGAATTTATAACTAAAACTGGAGCCTAAATTAGCATCGAGTCAAACCTAGACATAGCCAGATTTTCAAAATGAAGTGCTGTAGTCAGTAAAAATGCTACGTTTAAAATAAGAATGTACCTGCTCCAGGAGCACAGCCGTGTCTTTCTGGTTCTTTACATCTGAAAATCAGGGGGTCTCTGTGTATGTTTTAAGCATCTGCTCCAGACCTGAAAAGTATCAAAGAAACTGACAGGCATGTGAAGGACTTCTTGGGTCATCTAGTCCACATTGGCTAATACTTTACCCTGTTACTGTCATATTCACCCTAAAATTTCCCATTCCTTAATCTCATCCTATTACTCCCATTTATATGCCATTGTGTTCCACTCTCAATATTTTCTTCCTCCTTCATATGTAAACTTTTCTGACACTCGTAGACTTACTCTCTACCAACCCCAATAATCCTATAGCCACACTTTAACTTTTGATCTTTTCTTTCAAGTCAGTCTGTCTAGCCATTTGCTATTTTTGTTGTCCTTTTGTAAATGGTCTCAGATGTAGCTATGTGCTATTGTTCCCAGAACTGGGGCTGTTGATAGGACCAGCCTGGGCTCAGCTTGGGAAGTTTGGTCAGGGTGTCCAGGCAGCATTCAGTGTGTACAATGTTCCCAATGGAAAGGGGAGATGGCTGGAATACTGGTGTGCTCCGGTGATCCCTGGCTGCCCAAAAGGGCATTTGGGGCCATGGCAGCAACTTTAGAGCAGACCTGTGGTTACTTTAATTTGTGCTGGAACCAATTCAACCCCGAGACAGCCCCAAGATTTTGTGTGTGTGTGTGCACACGCAATAGCAGCATAAAACTTTTAAAGCGATTTTTTTTGGTACCCAATATAAAGATGAACTAGTGGCTCCAAAGTTAAGATTGCAGTGACATAGTCTGTTGCTGTCCTGTGTTTTTGTTCACTTTCACTTGCTTACTATCTATGTTTTGGAATAAAAAATGACACTCTCTCTGTGTTACACCCAAAGTGCGCATGGAGGATTCTCATTTACCACTTGAATTCCCCTTACATGAGGCACTGTGATGGGGCCCATAATTTAATACAATCCATTAAGACATTCAGTGCAATAGCAACAGACAAGAACCTTCTTTTTCCTGTGCTGCCTTGTTTAGATCCTTCTGCAATCGCAGCACTTTTGCTTTGATTGAAGCTTTTTGTCTTGCTTTATCCATTCCATTTGTAAAATCTTCCTCCTTTACAGAAAACATTTGGATGTGCAGCTCAGATGACACAGGAACCACCACATTGTACAAATAAGACCCCTATTAAAACCTTCACTGGGGATGCTGGGATTGAATTTTATGAAGAGAAACAAGCGCAAGTTCAGAACAAAGAAGGAGGTCTCAGTAATACTGAGATAAAGCCCCCAATTATAATTTCCACCTGGCTTCTTGCTGACCAAGCTTATCTTAGCAAAAAACAAGGTTGTCCTTTGTTTGTTCTGCTTCTTAGCTAATATTGTTCACTATTTGCTAGGCCTCTGTCTTCTTGACCAAACTCTGGATTTTGAGCTTGTAAAAAGAGCTGACACAGTCTGTATATCAGGTTGTAACATAAACAGCATATGGATTTTAGCCCTTCAGTTACAATACAGAACTGCATTTTCTTCTTTGAGTAGATGCAGCCATGTATTCATGTAGGTGACTCACAAGTGGTACCCGCAGGAGGAGTCTGTTTAAACAAGGACTGCAGGGCTGCTCTTCCAAAGTGTGCACCATGCAGCATCCACAAAGAGATGCAGGGAGCTGAGTGTTGGGTGGAAAATTTGACCATAATGCTGAGTCAGGAGGTCAGGATGAAGAGGAAGGGATGTGGGAGGTCAGATTGATAACACAAGGAGGTCAGAGAATCAGCATTGTCTCAGCCAGGCTGCGGTAATGAGAATGAGTTTGGCCTGGTCCAATTTCAGCTTGAGAATGACCTGCGGGATGATTGGAAAAGGAGGAAACCCAAAGAGAAGCGTCAATTCCCAGCTTAAGTGAAAAGCATCAGTCAGGGAGCCCTGGATTGAGGCTCCCTATGGGAGCAAAACAGCCAGCATTTCTTCTGGTCTCTGGTGGCAAACAGGTCAATCGTTGGGATGCCTCTTAGTTAAAAAATGGACTGTAGGATGCTTGATATCAGATCTGCACTGTCCACTGCCATAAAGAGTCCAAGATTAGGGGACGTCAGACCTGACTGTCCAAGGGATGGCGATTCAGACAATAGACTGAGTTCAGCCACATCTGAAGAGGCTGTAGGCACAGCTTGGCAAATTGGACTACTTGTGTGCAGGCAGATTTGTGACCTAACAACTTTAAACATACTTGGGCTGTGGTTAAGGGCTGAGACTGCAGCTCCAGACAAAGGTGGTGAATCAGTCAGTCGGCAGAAATGCTGTCAAAATCACAGAGTCTGTCAGGGCCAGAATGCACTCAATTCTTTGAATTGGGACCAAAGTCGACTTCCCGCTGTTCAGGATGAGACCCAGATGATTGAGTAAGCGTAGCATGAGAGAGGACTTCTTCTCTGGACTTGCCTCTCAGTAACTCACCATCCAGATATGAGAAGATATGAAGTCTCTTCTTTCTGAGGTACGCTGCTACCACAATCATGAATTTGGTAAAAAACCCGAGGAGCCGAAGAGAGACCAAAGGGGAGCATGGTGTACTGATGGTGTTGGTCCGCCACAACAAACTGAAGAAACCCTCTGTGGTTTGGGAGAATTACTACATGAAGATAAGTGTCCTGAAGCTCCAGGGCAGCAAACCAGCCCTCGGGATTTAACACAGGGTGGAGAGTTGCTAGAGTGACCATCCAGAATCTTGTGTATCTGATGTATTTGTTGAGGTTGCAAAGGCTGAGAATAGGTTTCAACCCCTGCCTTGGGATTGGAAACCAGAAAATACCAGAAGCAGAATCCCTGACTCTGATGCAGCAGGAGAACCTCCTCTACAGCTCCCAAAGCTAGTAGGGACTGAACACGCTTGAGGAGCAATGTCTTGTGAGAGGGGTCCCTGAAGAGGGATAGGGTAGGAGAGTGGGAAGAAAGGATGGAGAGAAGCTGTATAGTATAACCTGATCTAATAGTGTTTCGGATCCTGTTGTCCATGGCAATCGAGTCCCAACCACTAAAAATGAGCTAGCCTGTCCCTGAATAGGGGGGACAGAGCTGGAGAGGTCACAACTGGATCACTGCTCTGGACACAGAAGTTAAAATGGGCTCCTGCCAGATGCTGGGCGAGGGCGGGCCAGCTGGCTGAATCCAGAAGCAGAGGATCTCTGCCTCTGGGATCTATGATCCTTCCTGGGGTAATCCGGTTGCCTCACAGGAAAGGAGATCTGGCTGGAGAAGTGCTGCAGATGGTATTGCTGTTGCTACTGCTGACAGTGATAGTGGTGTCTCTGTATCATTTAAGTATAAACTCTCAAGGAGTGCAAAATGGCCCGGGAATCCTAAGACACAACTACAACTGTATACAAGAAACAAGTCTCTAGTAACTAAGACAGAATATATGAAGTGAACGAACACCATACAGAGCTCCTACTCCAGCCATGGACAGTGAGAAGAAGCTGACGGGGGGTTGGGATGGTGCCACCCTTATATGGCCAGGGGAAGGGCTAAGGCCAAAAGATGTGAACACCGTCCCAATAGGTATGGCTAGGCAAAGTTCTCCGGCTCTAGTGTGTTGGGTGCACTCACATATACATGGAATACGCGGCTGCATCTACTTGAAGTTCAGGGCCTAATCCTGAGTGGAGGTGAGCACTCCCAGCGTCAAAGGCAAAGGTAATGGGAGCTTCAAGTGCTCACCCCAGTTCTAAAGGGGGCCCCAAATACATTATAAGAGTGACTTTCATACTATGGGCTGTTCCTTAATACCCCTTTCCAAGTTCACATTTTAAGATAATTTGAAGGAAAGAGGAATGACTATATGACTAATTCAAACAATATGAATTCAGTGTAGCCAAACACAACAGTAATAATATTTTGCATTTATATAGAGTTTTTCATTAGCGATCTAGAAACACTTTACAAATATGAATTTGGCCTCACTACTAACCTGTAGCATAGATAATTATTAGAGTAAGTATTGCAAAATATCCTCAGGAGGCAATGGGTAGGGCACAACAGACAGCAGATTTCAGCTGCCCACTTAGGGCATCTTCTCAGCCTTAACATGGGCCAGGATCCTCAGTACTGGAGGACTCCTCTTGTTCTACCCACTAGGTATGGAATGTCCAGAATTCCTTTGGGATTTATTGGCAAACATTTTCCAGCACCCGGAGTAGAGAAGCTCAGGGATTTAATATATAAACAAGCATTTCAACATGCCATTATGCAGGCTATTATTTTGAGATCTGCTCCCCCTCTGTTTAGATTGCATATGCATAATAGCAATCCCAGCATAAAGGAATGTTCTCATGACAGACTAAACTTTCCAGCGTATGTAGCAAACTCTTTGCCTGGCAAACTGCTAGAGCAAACTGTGTTGCTTGCATTGCCAGAATTCATCTATTCTATATGAAGTTCAAGGGAATATGTGACAAGTGACAGTAACAGTGTCATTACGATGTCTGACTAATTCTCCTCACTATGCACAGAGATGCACACATATAGCTAGGGATAAGTTAACCAGGGGGTTTGGCCTCCCATTATATTAAATTCATGTAGTATTAAATTCTTTGTCAAGCCTTCCCTTGAGGGCAGAGGCAGCCCTAGTATATGTCTGTGCGGAGCACGGCACAGTGGAGCCCCAACTTGGCTTGGCACTGCTGTAATACCAGTAAAAACCAGCAGCAGCAAACATTTCATTGTGTCATCCTGTTGAACTGCAGCGTCGCTGCATGATGCCCGGGTGTCAGTGCCATGACGCAGCAGCCTTACGGAGGAGCCACAATCAAAAAGACTTCTCATCCAAAAAAGAAATGAGGGAAAACTGCCTGACCTGGGAGAAAGGAGATGGCAGAGACAGCATCACAGATCAGAAATGGGCACTAGTGACAAAGGGACATAGGGTAAGACCCCAGAGTGTGAAGCCATGCCCAGGGTGGACTGTACCACCTTTGACAGATACCTAGGGGGTTTGTCTCTTTTTCAAACTTGGGCAGAACTTGCATAGCTTGTCATGTCAATTAAATCCTACTGAACTGAACTGAGAATGATAATATTGCAGCATCAGTGGGTGATGCCATTGTGCTGCGATATCACATTGAGTTACACAGGCACAGGGGCACAATATATTATCTTGTGAAAACTTCATTCCTCATCCTTATTTGTGGCCCCTAAATATACGTCCCCAGAGACCTTCATTCTCCTAATTCATGTCTGCAAGTAACTGCAGCAATGTTAATTAGATTAACCCTTTATGAAACAATTTTGAAAAAATCACTTGCTACATTTTATCTGGCTTTAAGGGTCCAGCTTATGAACAGAATTGTTAATAAAGTGCTCAGCTTTTGGGGTTTACACTTGCACTTTTACTTCTCATTTTCAATCTAGTTTTCTTTATGCTAGCATTCAGGGTACTGGAATGAAAGAAAGAACAGATGGTAACAACAGAATAATAGATCACAAGCAAAGCTTCCTTCTTTGCTCTGTACTTACATAATAATCCATTAATAAGAACTCAGATTTGGTTTCAGGAGAGAACACTGACATTTCTTCCAGTAAAGTCTGAATGTCCTTTTCAGCATCCACCTGACTTATGGCACTATGAATCTGTGTGTGACACGAGAATAATGGCAGAGGATGGGACACCAGTTCAGAATCAGGAACTGCAACAGTGTCAGGGAATTTATACAGGAAACTAAAAATCTTAGGAACTACCTACTGCGATCAAGTTTTGTCCAAAATGGGAAAGGTGCTGGTTATAAGTATTTAGGATATTGCACAGAAGCTGCAATCTTTCCTTCTCCAGGTCTAGAATACTCTGAAAAAAGGATGCCAGCAGTCAGTGGCAGCAAACAAATCAGTGACCACACCTTAGGGACAACCAACCAAAGATTAAATGTTCTGTTGATAGAACAGATCAGATCTTTGGTACAGCTGCTTCAGGAGCCATTCTTCCCCTGCACCTTAAATCTATATAGCTCCTTTTGTTCCAAAGTGCCTTCCACCTTTACACAGAGCCCCACTGATAATGCAGTCATTTCCAGGCTGGAGGACAAAAAATACTGGCAGCATTGTGCAAAAAAGCAATGGGGAAAATTGTGGCCTTAGGGCAAACCCTTTACTCCTATGAAAAATGCCATGGGTGTATTTAATGTCCATATACAGCATCTCCGATTTGATAGGCTGATCTCACTCACATGCACATACACACATACACCCAGGTCTCATTGATCTTCCTCAGAAAGGAGAAGGGATGAATAGACTGTACTGGAATTTAAACCTCTAAGTCCAGGGTGCCTAAGGGCAAAAGTTAACTCATGATGTAAGTAGACACAATGCCACTGACTTCAATGGATTTGTGCCTCCTTACAGCCAGGTCTAATTTGACCCTAGAAGTTTGAACTCCAGATCTGAGACCACCAAGTCATCCCTCCAGCTATGATAACAGTATTTTGTAAGCTTTTAGTTTTGAGCCACCAAGGACCATCTCCTTTCTGTACACATGCAACTCCCATTAAAGTTCACCAGCATCCCAATATACTAACATCACCATATTTGGTACTACTGTCAGCATAGCTTTGCCAAAGCTAATCATAAGCCAGAAGCTGCTTGCTCGTTATGAGACTGCATGATCCATATTCCTCTGCAGTCTTATGCCTGCCCCTCAGTTAACACTGAACATCAGTCTATGACGCTCAGTTCCCAGCATCCTAGCTGCAATCCTCTGGTTACCGGGTGGCCTGGTGTCTCAAATGCCATTCTTTCTGATGCAGGGACATTCTAAGAGCTGCCTATAGGGTATGCCTACACTGCTCTTAAAAACTCGTGACTGGCCTGTGACTCGGGTTCATGGGGCTTGGGCTAAGGAGCTGTTTAACTGCTGTGTACACATTTGGGCTCGAGCTGGAGCCTAGGCTCTAGGACCCTGACAACTGGGAGTGTCGCACAGCTCGGACTAAAGGAAGTACTTCTTCACACACACTCAGTTAACCAGGGGAACTCGTTACCAGGGGACATTGTGAAGGCCAAAAGTATAACTGGGTTCAAAAAAGAATTAGATAAATTCATGAAGCATAGGTCCATCAATGGCTATTTGCCAAGATGGTCCAGGGTGCAGCCCCATGCTCAGGTGGTCCCTAAACCTCTGATGGCCAGATGCTGGGACTGGACCACAGGGAATGGGTCACTTGATAATTGCTCTGTTCTGCTCATTCCCTCTGAAGATCTGGCATTGACCACTGTCAGAAAACAGGATACTGGATTAGATGGACCATTGGCCTGACCCAGTATGGTGATTCTTGTGTTCTTATGAAAAACACTGAATGGTCTGGAACAATTCTGAGTATGTAATAAATACTGTATCTCTCACTGGCCAGGGTAATGTTTAACAGGCTTTAATTAGATTTGAGAGTAATAATTAAAGTGATCTATGTCTACTTGTGAAAAGAGGTTGGCATAAGTTTATGGCTAATTCAGTTGTGCAGAGGGGGAATCCATAGCACATTTAATGAACACTTATTTCTGATTACCTTTTTGGTCAAACTGTAAACTAAGCTACAAGAAAAGTCATTTTAGTAGACAGCCAGTAGTGTACAGAGCTGTAGTCCAATGGCCTGAGCACAGGTCTAGGAGCTATGAACTCTCAAGCAGTGTCTCTGGCACCCACTGCTTTGTGACTGGAAGCAAGTCACTTAACCTCCCTGCCTCAGTTTCCCCATTTGTAAAATAGCGATAACGATAATGACTTGTAGGGGTTCGATCATGATATGTACTTATTGTATCTCACACTAGTTTTTTGAGGATTAATTAGTCAAGCGGCCAAATTCATCTGTAGTGTAACTCAGCATAGTGTCTACAGTGGGGATCCGCCAGGGATGAAGTTAGTTCTATGTGTCTAAAGCATTCCAAAAATGAAAAGTGCTATATTTGTGCTACTCCAATGCACTCAGCTTCACACAAACAACACAGACAAGACACTCACTCTAAAACAGCAAACAGAGGGTAAACAGCAGTTTAGATCATTTGCCATGGAAAAGGCTTTTAAAGATAAAAGTATAAAGTGCAAAGGTAGTGTCAATCAATAGGACAAGTTTGGCTTGCACTGCCAAAGTCCTGCCTCCCATACTCAGTATTAGTTTTGGCGGCTTTACAATCTTCCACAATAAGCTGCATCACTGCTAGCGTGCACCTCTCCCTTCCTGCTACCACTGCCAGCTTCATATGGAGAATCAATGAGGAAATTTCTTCTACACAGATTCAGGTTCTGCGTAAGCAGAGAAGGTGCCCTTGAACACTGCCATAGCTCAGTTCACCTAATATTTTATAGTCTAGCACACAGACTGAACTCTCCACCAGAGGTCAATCTGTGATGTGTTTAATGTTAAAACAAGAATAACTACCCTAGACGGGATACAGCAGAGTGAATTCAACGGGCTGCCTCCCTTTCCATGCCAACTTTTATTTCTGTCCCCTTGAGTTTCTGATGGGGAACCAAGTGCATATGTCAATTCACACATACAATCGGATAATTGACAATAGGCTCCAAGATTATCTCCACTTAATTAGCCCATAATTGTAAGCTAAAGACTTATCCTCCTATTTCCCATTGACTAGCGTTATGAGAGTGTATGATATTAAAGACCGTGTCATTATGCCAATGAGGCAGATAAGAGACGTATGTGAAGGGAGATACAGAGAAAGGGGAAAGATAAGGAGAGGGCAAAAGAATGAAGCATCTTTCTCTCTGAATTTCCTAAAACTGCACTGCAAGAGAACCTGAGGAAATTTTATAAAGGCAAAAAGTACAAGCCTCTTGACCTATGGCCAAAGAAGACTTGCGCCATGCGCCGCAGATTAAATAAGTACGAAGAAAGTCTGAAGACCAAAAAACAGCAGCGAAAAGAGCGCCTGTACCCTATCCGGAAGTTTGCTGTTAAGGCATAAACCCTTTGCATACCATGGATCTGTCAATTATATTGGCTAGCTTTTTCTCATTAAACATCTAGTTGTTTGGAAAAAAACAAAAAAACCCACATGCCCTTACTGCAGTATTTGGGGCTGTTTCTGAGGCAGTATGAAACAATGATACTTCAGAGAAAGGAGTAAAACCAGGGTTGTCTTATTCCTTCACAAATACCAAATACTAATTTTCACAATGAATATTCAGACACTAATTATCTTATTTATATTGGTGTAAATTAGGAGTATCTGTATTGAAGTAAATGGATTTACACTGGTGTGAAACTGGCATGAGATCAGAATCAGGCTCACAGTCTTTGGAAAAATCTCAGATAGAGACAGAACCACAACAGAAAGGAAACAAAATTACTTGCTTGATAGCTATTTTCTAAAGCTGTCTCCCAAGTCAGTCTAGTTTCGTAGCCAGATATATTTTTTTGAAAATAATCTTCATCTTCCTTTGTCATTTTTGTTGCTGATTTTTCTAGCCTTCTGAGCAACTAAGGTAAAAATATAAACGTATATTTATAATCATAAATATTAAGGCAAACACAAAAGAGATTTTGCACATGAATATAATATTCTATTTCCTTCATTCACTTAAGACATAAACCGTGAGCCTGATTCTGATCTCTTGACAGGTGTAATTCTGCCAGCTTCAGTGATTACCAGGATATGTACGCAGGTGAAACCTAAAGCAGGACCCGTGCTACCTAGACTACAAAATTACATAATATCAGAGTCATATCTAGCTAGAAGATACTCAGGCCATGGACACAAATGATCACCAAATACAGGAGAAGAAGCTGAGGTTTAGAGAACTGAAAACAAGTGTGGGAGGCAGAAACACCTAAATTCTTATCTTGGCATAGCTGCTGCTCTTAGTGTGGTCTTGGTCAACTCAGCCTTTCCGTGTCACATTTTATCCACCTGTAGAAATGATGACAATAATGTTTATCTACCTTCCTACCTACCTCATGTAGGGACTAATTAGCGCATGGACAGCAGTCTGAAGTTATAAATCACCTATTTACTTAAAGCATTTCTATCTATATTCTGTCTGCTTTTCACTCTTTTCTAACACAGAGAACTTAACCTTGGAAGAAACATTTCCTAATGGTGCTTGAACAAATTATTTGTATCCTTAGTGATTTTATTGCTCTGATCAGTTTGTTAACAATTCACATGTTGGCAGTTGAGAGTCTGACAGGCCAGTGGAAGGCACATTTTAAGGAGAGGAGGAAGTTTGCTGTTAAGGCATAAACCCATTCTTTTGCCCTCTCCTGGATTTGAAATGCAGTTTTACCTCTAATTGCAAATCTAAATTATAGGGAAAACTTTGGTTAAGTGGTTGAACTTATTCCTTTGATATCATCCCTAAATGAATCTCTTCTCCTTTTAATGTGCTCATTTCTGTGGCTAAAGAAAAGAATCCAACGGGATGTTGCATTGAGGGGGCCTTGAATAGTCCAGGTTACTGTTTACTAGAAAGGCATCTTTTGTGAAAGACAGAGTGGGAGTCCATCATTAGCTTGGGAGACTCTCAGCTGCAGCTGTTCTGATTGCTTTTAATTGGCTTTCACCTTCTTTTGTTTATTTCTTGGTACAGGTCTTGTTCTCACAGAGTTCTAGAACTATGTAAAAGTTGGGTCTAGTTAAAAGTCACATAATTAAAGAAGAATATCTGTTTCACAAATAATACCTTTTATTCCTACAACTGAAAGAATTTTAAAACCTAGCTCACTTTTCACCTTTGTTATTCTTTACTCTTGATTAGTTTGGGGCAGTGATTATTGTCTCATCTTATTATTCTTTGTAGACTAAAAGAATTTACAGGGACCAACCCAGACCGAGGCCCCATTGTACTAGGCACTGCACAAAATCTGCCTAAGGATTTTATACTCTCGCCCATCACAGTGGTATCTAAGAGCCGTCCACTTCAAATCAATAGTGATAGTGAAAGCCCTAGTGTTCTTCGTAGAGTCTCTGGCATATCTCCCATTTCAGGGTCAAAACTCTAGTTGGGGAAGGGGTTTGGGCTTTGTTTTAAAAAAAATAGATAAAGGTTGGAGGGGAAACAGTCCCTGAGAGGTAAAGTGATGTGACCAAGGCCAAACAAGAGATCAGTGTCAGAACCGAGAACAGAACCCAGCAGTCCAGTACCTATCCACCAGACCACATTGTCTCTCTTTGGACAACAGAAACAGACTAGTCAGTTTAACTTTTGCTGCTAGCCAGTTGCAGTTTGTGGCTGCCATGCACCAGCACAAAGCTATAACCTTTCGGTTCCGGACACCTATTCCCATTGGAATTTCTAATAGTCTGACAGTTTGTCAACACTGGCCACTAGGCCTGTTTTAAAGCAGCTTTGCTGCCAAATTATTCCCATCCCAATTGAGGGTATGGATCTGAGTCTTTTGTGAAGCATATTTTTTTAAAAATTAATTATTTAATTTTGAGTGGCCTAGCTTGGAGTATGCTTTAAAAACGGGTACTTTACAAAACAAATACAAAACAAATTGCACCCTCTTTGAGATGACAGAGAGGTACATATGAAGCAAAAGTAGTGCCTGATTTTCTTTTCTAATGTAGCCATGGATGCTCTAAGTACATCCATTGCACAGATTTATGTACACAGTTGGCTCTACAGAGGAGTTACCTTCTGCTGCTTCTTCCCTGTAGCAAATTGCTTGGTGTTTTCTACACAACGGAAGAGTGCTTCACGTTCCTTGGTAAACCGCATTCATTTCCTCTTGGCCTACAGACAAACACACCAATAAAAAAGAGTCAGGTGTAGAGTGCCAACAGACAGTCCTGAAATTGCCAAGCAGAACGGCTGCAGAGCTTGCTCGACGTTTCTAGATCTCACAGGAATTATGCTTTCAATTCCTGCCCTCTCCACAAATCTTCCTGCACTGATGAAGAAGTTGTAACTGATACCACTTTATTGTCTGTTGTGACCAGAAATCCTGTATGTTCTCTCACATCTTTGGTATTTTGGAGAAGGTTGCAGCCCTTACAAAAACACTAAAAAGCGACGCAAGCAACAAATACCATTTCCCTTGGAGACAAATCCGCACAAGGCTTGTTTGAACCCCGTGTGTCTTTGCTTACTAGCCACTTTTGGCAATGCAATAAGTGAAAATCATGTCACCTGAGTCAAACACCAGTATAGGGCTTGGCACAGAGGAACTGCACTGGGGAATAAGGGTGGTGGGAGAGCAATTGGTAGGCTGAAGAATGGGAACAGAGCCACATCCACCACTTCTGTAGCCTCAGAGTTGCACTACCCTGCACTCTGTAGCCCGCTCTGCTTTGAGCGATGCCCTGCAATGGCCATTACATGCATACTCTCATTCTGCCTTTACTGTGTCTTGTGCAGGTGTGGCACAGCGCTAGGAGAGAGCTCGAAAAAACCATCTCCACGAGGGGCATAGCTCCCAGCGCTGGTGCACTGTCTATACCGGCACGTTACAGAGCTGAAACTTGCAGTGCTCAGGGGGGGTGTTTTTTCACACCCCTGAGCGAGACAGCTGCAGTGCTGTAAAGTGCCAGTGTAGACAAGCTGCCAGAGTCTGCCCCACCTCCGAACTGGCATGTCCACTCCACACAAGGGGAATGTGTGCCTGAAATATTCAGATCCCTACAGAGGGGTAGGGCTCCCCCAGATCCCAGCATATACATGGAAGGGTAGAATTTAGGACTGACAGCCTTCCCCGGTCCTAAGCCCCCAAGTGTCCTCTGATACCCCTCATTCTCCAACCCCTCCTGTCTTCTCCCCTCCCATTCCCCCTAATCTCTACCCCTCCCCCTTACCTGAGCCCTCCAACCCATCTTTCCTCCCCATCACCCATTCCCATACGAACCCCATCCCTCACTGCAGACCCAAACTCCTCTTCTGCTATTACCATCTACTGCCCCCCATTACTCCTCCCCTCCCAGTGAGCATTCACGTGTAATGTATTTTCTTTTCAAAAATAGTTTCCGTGCCTTCTGAATATTCTGCTGTACGCAGTTTACATTTCTCCAAAATAAAATATATTGACAGAGGCAGATTTTCCCCAAAACTTTACAGTTCATTCTCAGATTTCTGCCCAAGGTGGGCGTCAAACTTCAAAGTTGCTAGAATCTTCAAAGTTGCTGGGGGGGTTTTCCTGAGGACCGTATCTCAAGACCGCCTTGCATCAAATGACCCCACCTTTGGATCACTATCCCTACCCTGTACTCCATAAGGCATAGCAAATTTCAAGACAATCCGTGTAAGCATACAGATTTTAGAGTGCTTAGCAGCACCCATCCTTGAAACAGGACAGGCTTCCCAACCTTAACTAGACCAGAGCTGGCGTTCCGTTATAAGATTGTATGAACTAGAGAGAGCACAGAAGGCTCAGAAAGGCGTTAAGTGTCCCATTCATCTCAATAAGATGTTCTCAGCTGAAAGAGAATAGCTCACACCCCACAAGACACACCAAATGTCAAGGCAATCTGAGCATGCGGGTGGATTTTAGAGCACTTAGGCCTGTCTAGCTTTACACAGAAAGGCAGTCTCAACTGCAGTGGAGTTGTCGCTCTGACATAACAAATACCGGAGATCTGTTTCCTCCCCATGTGGTCTATGACGATGAATTTTATGGGTTTCAGAGTAGCAGCCGTGTTAGTCTGTATTCGCAAAAAGAAAAGGAGGACTTGTGGCACCTTAGAGACTAACCAATTTATTTGAGCATAAGCTTTCGTGATGCATCCGATGAAGTGAGCTGTAGCTCACGAAGCTTATGCTCAAATAAATTGGTTAGTCTCTAAGGTGCCACAAGTACTCCTTTTCTTTTTGATGAATTTTATATTAAGAATACAAGTATCTGCCTACATCTTTGGAGTAGCGCAGCAAATGCTTTCATTTGAAATTATGCCTTTATGTGAGAACAAAGTTTGGGAACTTGCCTTCTTTTGTTGGCTCCAGTTGTTCACTACCAGTTTTGCTGACTTTTCAACTGCATTATCTAGCTAGTGGGAGAGAAACACAGTATGACATTTAAAGAACAAGGCATTTCTCCATTGTTAGTTGCTTGAGGAGACTGGCAGTGGCTCTAAGTGTCAAATTTCACCATGACTTGCGCAGTCCTGCCAACTTCCAGGGGTAGAATTTGGCCCACCCATAGCAAATAAAAAATACCCATGTAAATTAGTTGCTGGTGGAAAGCTTTCAGATCACCTTGAATTCCACTGAATAATTGCATGGTGTTTACCAAGGACTGACCAGCCTTTAAAAGTTTCTAGATGGAAGAATTGTTCAGAATTTCAGAGAGAAAATAAAATATGGAAAAGCATAAGCAGCCCAGTTCTGATCTCGCAGTAGCAGTGGACGAATGGGACTCCATTCACGGCAGTTTAGGTCCTCCTCACTGAGAGATCAAAATCCAGCTACCCAACTCTACAATGATGCATATTGTCTTTTCCTTGGAACCTGTACTTTGTCTATGTTCATCCATCCATCCCAAGCGCACTGCTGTTGTATCTGAGGGCCACAGGTTACTCATGTGAGCAAGGGTGCAGGATTAGGCCCCTGGACCAGGCTCTGATTTTTCAGAGTGCTCTGACCACTTTGCACTTCTGTGGCATTGCAGAGCAGTCCCAAAAACAGTGGATCTGGGCACATGAGAATTTTTTTGTCTAGAGGAATCCTCAAGTGGCATAGAACCAACATAGCAGTTCTTCTGTCACCCCTGTTCTTAGCCAGGGGTAGTGCAGTTGGGGCATCTCTGCATCCAGCTGATACCTAGTGATTAGAGAAGCTCTTGGGGGTCATTCCCAGTTGGCACATGACAAGGCAAACTCTGGGGCCTAAAATTCACCTTTGCTCCCTCACCCCAGACTGGGGCCAAGAAACCTTGGCCAGGCTGGAGAATATGGCCCTCAAAATGCACAACATAATGTTTTGCTGGGGATGGGTGAGAGAAGGGGTATGCAGGTTTCTGATTTCCTTGCTCTTAAATGGAGTTGCTTTGCCATGAAGGATGTAAGTGTTGCTTACACATACTGTATGTTATCTCTGATTTGATCCAGCCTCACTCACAGGAAACATAGTATATTGAAATGCTGCATAAAAAGAACAGAAAGACAAATGCTTTGACTTACTGCTTTTTTCTTTTTTTCAATGTTCATCCAATATATGATTAGTTGAGTTTATTGATTCTAACTGAATTGCTTTGCCAAGTTTGCTGGGCATAGAACATAAAACACACACAACCACTGCATTAGTATTTGCATTATTGGACATGCTTTGCCAGAAAAAATGGTGTGTCTAGTAGTAAATATTCTGGGCACACCCCCAAACTAAGCAGTAAAGTTTGAAATGTTTATAGTGCATTAGTTTAAGAGTTTACCGACTGCTTTGAAGTTTAAAAAATGTACCTGCTCACACTTACTGGTGCAAATTTCATCCCCTCAGAAACCCACAGAGCCATGCATTGCAAATGCAGCTAAAGACAGAAAAAAATGCACACAATGGCTTTGTTTCTATGGCTATTATAAAATGAAATATAAAACATCAAGGGTGAGATCCTCAGCTGGTGACTTTCCTGCAATGACACTAATTTATGCCAGCTCAGTATCTGGCCCCAAATCTCAACACTAATCACCAATCCCTTATCCATTCACCATTCATGTTTGCTAAACTCAGACAGAACTGTAAGCACCTAAAGTGGAACAACATTGCGTAACAACTCTGTGGCTACCTCAGAATTTCCTGGTTGTTACTATGCTGCACACCACCGCCACCTGGAACTTCACGGTGAGAGCAGGAATAGTACCTGAGTTGAAGAAGAAGGAAATGTTACTCACCCTGTGCAGTAATTGTAGTTCTTTGAGATGTTCCCCCATGGGTGATCCACTTCAGGTGATTTCTGAGCACTATCCCCGGAAGAAGGAGTGGGGCTTCGAAACAGGCCAGTTCACCTGCACACCCTTATACAGCCTTGGTGTTTGGTCCACGTATGCCTCCTCGTGGCAAACAGGCACTGCTAGCTAGAAATCTCCAGTCAAGGGCTCAAGAGGTGCATGCAACTTGAAGTGGACCACCTATAGAGACACTGGTCAAAGAATGATCACTTTAGATAAGCTATCACCAGCAGGAGAGTGGGGTGGGAGGAGGTATTGTTTCATGGTCTCTGTGTGTATATAATGTCTACTGCAGTTTCCACGGTATGCATCCGATGAAGTGAGCTGTAGCTCACGAAAGCTCATGCTCAAATAAATTGGTTAGTCTCTAAGGTGCCACAAGTACTCCTTTTCTTTTTGCAAAGACAGACTAACACGGCTGTTACTCTGAAACCTTCATTAGCTTTTGCAGGATGACTCGGGACACCATCGAGCAGTTCTGATTTCATCCACTAGGGGCCAGGGCTACAGACACACAGGAGCTGATTCAAGTTTGATTCTAGAAGTGGTCAAAGAATTTGGTTGACATGTGCTTAATTTTTTTTATGCCAGTTCAACCCTAATTATTACATAGGATCTTCATCTCCAGATCCCTTTCTCTTATTAAACACCTACGGCCAAACCCAGAATGGTGCTGAGCTCCTGCTAGCTGTTTAGCTGGTGATCAGTGCCTTTTGGAGTTGTCCTATACCGTCCTCCACTGCAGTCTAGAAGTTGGGAAGCAGTTTTTTGAAAAGTGTTGTATTGACTTTTTGGATATTGGAAATATACTACAAGTCTAAGGAATGTTGGTCAGCTAACATAATATTGGCTACTAAGAATTAGTGTATTGTGTGCACTTAATCACACAGCAAAGTGCTAGGAGTTTGTATATACCAGCTGGATGTCAGATGTGAAAAGAATTTAACTTGCTATTTTAGCCATCCTGGCTATTGGAACTGAGATTTTTGGTAATTACACCCCCATACAATTAAGAGTGACTGGTGTGTTGTGCTCAGATGGTTTTCATTCCTTTGCATACTGTTGGATGTTTTATACATACTAAAAAAAGAAATCACTGTTTACGAATGTGAAGATTAAAGAAGAGGAAGAGCCTATGCTGTACTCTTTTCATTTACACTCCATCTCATTTTTGAATTTGGTAGATGTTACTTACTTCAGCTTCATCTTGTCCAAAGCTTTGGTAAGCTTGTTAGCCAGCTTTTCCAGTCCTTTGGCATAGCTAATTTCTGAGGTAGCCCTGTCAATACAATAATAAAAATCATAATGCAATTCAAACATTACCTGACCTGTAAGCTTTGAACAGGTCTGCTTGAGCCAAAGATTTGGTGCTTACAACCAAAGAAAATTGCTTCAACATAAAAAAGGGAGTGATCTCATAGCGAAGATACACATATGCAGATCTTTCAGCCACACAGGCATATTCAGCAAATCACAATAGCTCTGTAACACCATATGATTGTATAACGTATCGAGACTCAATTAACATAGAGTACTTAACCTAGCTGAGAACAATGGCAATGACACAAATCAGGTCAGCTTTTACTACCCGTACAGGATTGAACTCCAGGGGATACTAGGATATTGTCTAGATAATATCAGACAGCAAAACTTTTATTATTAATTATTATTATTTTGTGGTTATGAATAGACCGTAATTAGGTCTATTCAAACATTATGTATAAATTCCATACAAAAGAACTACACTAAAAGAACATGAAGGTTGACAAGTCAAGCACTCAGAAGTTAGGAAACGCCAGTATTAAGGTTGCCCGTGGAACCTTAATTTGGCACCCTTGTGCATTTGCACTATAATATAGTCTTTAATTATATGATCACATGCTAGTTTTTCACAGGACCCCTTCCTCATTCAGTGCACAGGATGGATGGTGCTTTGGGAATGAATCGGGTTTGTACTGTTAATTAGGCTATTGTCGCAGTCTCCTTGCCCAGCCAGACCAGTCAACAAGCCAGAGCAGAGTCCAGGACACAGACACCGGCTTTTCCCTTTGCGCAGGGGTGCCCTGCCACACTTCACTCCTTCCCACAAGGCTTTGCTCTTGCCCCACCTTTTCCTGCTCACTCCCGCGAGCGCATCCCATCCCCACTACTTCCCCTCCCTCCCAGCATCTCCTGCATGCCGCAGAACAGCTGGTCGCAGTGAGCGGGAGGTGCTAGGGGGAAAGAGAGGAGCTGGCTGCTGGTGGGTGCTACACACCCGCTAATTTTTTTCCATGTGTGCTTCAGGGCTGGAGAACCCACAAAGTTGGCGCCTATGGTCCAGGACCAGGTCTAGACACATAAAATGGCAAAACATTTAGATGGTGAAGTTAAAGAAGATACAAATAGTGTTAAGTGGATTTCCCCTCATCTAAAAATTAATATATCTACAATTGGGAAATCTGCACTGAGCAAGGGCCTATGCTAACCTTTATTGGCTCTCTCATTTTTACATTGGCTGTTTTTCAGATTTATCTCTACATGCCGGACCAGTTCTTTTACTGACTTGCCTTTGTGAATTTTTTTTGGACTGGGTACAGCAGATCAGGGGCCCAATTCATTATTGTCTTTCCCCTTATGTAGTGATTTACATCAGTGGAAAGTACACCAGAACTTCAACTGGTGGAAACTGACATTCCCTTTATTGGTGCTATTCTGATTCATATCAGGTGAGAATCTGGTCAATTGAATGTAGAGTGGGTAAAAATTGTTACCAGACTGATTTAGCAGTATCTGACATCTACCTTACACAGGTGGAAATGATTGTAAAAGGCACAGGGAAGCTGAGAATCATGCCACATATGTTAACTTTTGGCTAAGACGTCTAGGAAGCAGCTGATCCATATTTTAGAAGCTGGAAAGATACTGGTGAGGGAGAAGTAGAAGAAATGGAAGAGAAGAAGCCTGATATATTTGTCCATGATTTATTAGCTGTCTGAATTAACTCTGGGTACATTTAATTCAAATATTTAGTTCATGTAAAAAGTGAGTGGATAATTAAGAAGCTTGTACTTAAGCTCATAACAGCAGCCTAACAGAAGACAAACTTGATAGTCTAAATCCACCCTACTGTAGCACCATTAAAGGAGTACATCAGGGATGAATTTGGTCCACTGTATTTTTTAGATTAATTCTGGATATTCTGTTGCAGACCGTTTCCTGCTGATGACTTTGCTGAGCAGTTTGTAAAGTCAGGGAAGCATAGGGTGATCAGACAGCAAATGTGAAAAATCGGCAGTGGGGAGGAGGTGGGGAGTAATAGGAGCCTATATAAGAAAAAGACCCAAAAATCGGGACTGACCCTATAAAATAGAGACAGCTGGTCACCCTGGGAAGCAAGCTGGTAAAATTAAATTTCCAAAGAATAGATCTTCAAAAAAACCTCCTCTGATGTGAAATACTACGAACAGTCATCTGCAGTATTGCAGCAATTATCTGTCATTTTAGGCTCCAGTCCTCACCCGTATTGGTCCATAATTCTGTAATCCAGGCTGCATGGGATGGCACTGAAGCAGACATCACCCTTTCTAAGTGTTCTGCACCATCATAAATCAGTTATACCCAGTTTGTATTCAACGTTCATGTAATTTACATGAGAAAATTGGTTTACATCCCTCAGCCATGCATGCTGGCTTTCACCAAAATGTAATTTAACAACATGGGTTCTTGGTACAGAGCAGGAAACTCAGAATATGAAGAGAGGGAGCCTGACAAAGAGACAAGAGAGACTGAAGGGAAGGGAAGGGAAGGAGCCTGGCAAAAATGAGGGAAATAAACCCAGATTTGCGAACAGCCCTCATCGCCCACTACTGAAATATACTAAAAATCCTGGTCCTGCATACTGAAGGTCTGACTCAAGCAGCCAGAATTTACACAGCAGCTAATCCAAGATGACACTGATGCTGGCAGCATTATCAGGGTAATATTTTCACAAGGACAAAAATGGTCTTGTTCAATTTCTCTAAAAAGAAAAGGAGTACTTGTGGCACCTTAGAGACTAACCAATTTATTTGAGTATAAGCTTTCGTGAACTACAGCGAAGTGAGCTGTACTCCTTTTCTTTTTGCAAATACAGACTAACACGGCTGTTACTTCAATTTCTCTGTTGCTCTTCTGCAACGGCAGGCAAGTAGGTCTTTGCTAGCTAGGATTTACAAGTAAAATATTATTATTGGTGCTCTGAGGCAGTGGGATTTGCAAGATGATAAACCTGTATCCCCTGGAATAAAATAAAAGGGACCTGAGACAATTCAAACCCCCATGCAGGGATTGAGTCTCTCCTCACTTAGGGCCTGCTCCTGCTTCCATGGGAGTCAATCCTGTTGAACACTGGGAGATGGATCTGGTCCTTGCACTGGTATTATTACACCATTATAGCTTTTTTGACTTCCATGGACATACTCCCGATTGGCACTGGTGGAAGTGAGACGATAACCAAGCTTGGAGCATGAAGTTTGCCTGGTCTTGGTCCCCATAAACACATTGGGCTAAATTCTGCCGGCTCTACATGGATATACACCGTGTGAGAGCAGAATTTGGCTCAATGGGCTTTCCCCAGGTGCAAGATACAGTCACCTGTTGTTCAGAAAAGCAGCTGAGATGTTTTTCAACACGCTGACAATGCATTGCCATTTTAGTGAATCTGGACTGCACTTGTGTTCATGAGAACACCATGCACGTTTTGTGAGACTTTGAATTTCGTTGCCATTAAGACAAATATCTTACCCTCTTCGGAGCTGCCATGTCCCTGCCCCCTACACTCTGATGGAGGCTAGTCAACCTGGCATAGTGAATAGAGTCTGTAATAATAATGGGAATCCAGAGAAACACTGATTGCGTGGGCAGAAAGATGACAATGGGCTCAGCTCTGCAGTTACTCTTCGAATTCCAGTGGCCTGGGGAACAGCCTCAGGCACAGGCTCAATAGTTAGAGAATGCATTTCATCGTGCAACTGCCATCCATTTCCTGGGTGCTGAGAAGTGCCTACCGACGGATTGTTTCTCTGTGAGGTTGGCACTTAATGTACCACCTGTCCAAGTAAAAAAGGGAGAGAGAGAGAAGGCAGGGACAGAGTGGCCCAATGGACGTGGGACTTAAGAGGCTTGGGGTCTATGCCCAGCTTTGGCACTGGCCTGCTGGGTAACGTGGGGCTGGTCACATCGCCACTGTGTGCCTCAGTTTCCCCATTTGTAAAATGATGATAATGCTATTTTTCCCCTCTATTGTAGAGCACGTTGGGAATCTCTGGATGAAAAGTGCTGCGTAAGAGCTTGCCTCCTTAAATTAAATGAAGACCAAATGAGAGCAAATTTATTTTGCCAGCTTTCGCAAACATGTCTGTAAAATGACAAGCTTTTGTGTTGCTGGCAAGAAGCAGCTCTTTCAAAGCCACTTTAGGAGGACAAGTGTAATTAAAAAGGAAGATGCTCTTTAAAAAGAGCCCAGATTGGAAAGAGAGCTGCTGACTAGATTAATACACGACAGAGGTGATTAAATATTTATTTTCAAATTTAATTAAGAATTGCATTTTGCTGTTGAATTTCAGGTTGATTTTTTACGTAGGTAGAGGACAAAACTTTGCCTAATTACGGCAAGACAGCCCATGGCCAAGCAGTTATCAGACTATCTTAACCAGCAGTTTTGGAACCACTGAACATCACCTGCATAGCATTTCTCTCTCTCTCTCTCCTGATAGACAACTGGAGAAGACTTGTGGTTTGATTTCCCACCCAGGTTCAAACTGGCCATTTTGTAGAGGTATCAAAATCTATGTTTGTGTTTCTGGAACTGCAGTAAATCTAAGTTATTCCCTATCAACTTCCAACTGTTCAGAAATGATGTACAGCCAGCATGCAAATCTGCTGTACAAAGGAGGCTGCATATGTACTGCATTGCAGTGGTAGGTCCTGCCTTACTTGTGGTGAGATAAACTTCTTGAGACAGAAGGTTAGATTATTAAGTTTAGTCTCTAGGTATCATGCTATGATTTTCTTTTATCTATAATCCTTTTGCTTGCACTATTCTTATTCATTATCTCTTGAATCTTAAATCTTGGATAATCAACTTGTTGTTTTCATTATAAATACATCTCATTGCTGTGCTATTGGAGAAGGAGCTGATCCTGAGCGGACTCACACATGCTGTAGTGTACACTGTTCCCATGGGGACAGCAGACACGGTATGATTGTGAGTGTTCATTGGATAAAGGGGCTGGACACTCCACGGGAATACTTCAAAGGGGCTCAAGGACTGGGGTGCACCTACTGCTAATCTGCAAGGCAAAGTAAGGGCTGGCCTGAAATTGATCTTTAAATGAGACAAGCCATGATTTGAAGAAAGTATACACACACACACACACTCAGAAGGAAGGGTGTCATTTACCGAATCATTAATATCACTTTCCGCAACTCTCCTTCAAGTACAGACCCTGCCTGGCTTATGAGATCTGGTGCAGCCAAGGAGGCATGGCGGCTAACTCTTACCTTCAAGTTGTTGTCTTTGTTATAAAGTCCTGCTTCCAAACATTTAGAAGTTTTCATATAATTAGGTAATAACGGACTTATTCCTGATCCTCCTCACTGTGGACTTTATGAAGACAAAACTCTGGCCATACAATGAACATTTTATATGTGTGGTAGTAGAGAGCTGCACACAGCCTATACCATCAATATACAGGTGTGATTTGTAAACGCAGCCCTTAAAAATCAGGGAGGATTTTGCTGTTTATGTAACTTCCTCTTTGTTAATGTGGACCAAATGGAAGCTCTGGTGTGGGAAAATATCCTTGCATTTGATCTGTACACCTCTCACTTCAAACCAGCCTCAGTGTCAATATGTTCTTCTTTTAGGGCTAGACTGTGATTAGCAGTCAGCGAGGGAGGCAGTGCAGGAGACACAATCTGCCCACAGCTCCAGGAGGTACGGGGACTACACATGCTGCCCCACGTTTTATGATCCATGGCCCTGCCCCCATTGCAGTGGCTTCACCCTAGAGAGCAATCCTGGTGCTTCCAAAGCAGAGACAATACTTGGTCCTGAGCCTCAGGAAGGAGGCACACAGTGGGAGGCAGCCTGCTCATCTGTACAACTGTCAGGCAAATTCTAGCCCTTAATATACGATGTGCTTGCAGCCAAGTTTCACAGGGATCAATCTTAAGGCTCCAGGTGTTAATTGAGAATATAAATGGTAGTCAAATAATTTGATTTGCATAAAGCGAATTATCCTAAATTTGAATAAGCCCTAGAATATGAAGACTAATGGGCAACTAATTAACAATGCATTTTTCACACAGCTGTGATCTAAGATTTTAAGTTCCAGAGGGAAGCATAATAATTGGTGAGATTTTGCATCGCTAAATTAGCCCAAATTGCATTCTAGCGTCCTATTTGTCACTTCCAGAAATATTCGTGCCCTCTCCCTTTACACCATTCAAGGTTTAATGTGCTCACCTTTGAGGCTCCTTGTTAAAATGAAAAAATAGAAATGGATAATATACATTTTGTTAAAGGCGAGGGTGACGTTATTAGTTTTGGCACGTATGAATGTGAGCATGCAAGAACAATCCTGTTTACTTGTCTTGTCACTAATTACACCAATTTATGAAAGACTATAAACATTGTGGTTAAGTTTAATAAAAACTGAGGGGAAAAAGCGATGGCTTTATTATCAAAACCCATTCTGGACCTTCCTTACACACAGACCCAGAAGGTCTCCTTCCTCACAGGAACCATGGATGAGGACAACTTACCCTACGGCAAAAACAGCTAGGTTTGGTGCTATAAATACATTGCCTAACCTCCTCAATGGGGCAGGAATGGCTGCTGCAGAGCAGGAGCAGGGAGGAAGCCAGAACGCTCAGCATACAATAATGCTCTCTGGGCAATCCTTGTCCTTACCATGGTGGATACCTACCTTACCAGAGCAGATTCCTCCATGCAGATTCCAGGGCTTCCACCGATAGTGGCATGGCTAGCTCCTGAGACAACAGCAACTGGCATCCCCAACATGATTGCACATTTTGATTCCCTCCACCTGAAGTCATAGTGTCAGGAGCTACCACTGGTCTGAGAAGTAGCAATGTACATGGTTGTTTGCCACAGGGTTTTAGCCCCTGTCCTAAAGAAGCAGCAATCTTCTGTTCCTCTCCCAGCAGCTGCACCAAGATCCAGTTGAGCGCCAACATTGCATTCTGTGTGCAAAGAGAATTCAGGGGCAGTATGCTGGGGAACCTCAGGTCCCCTCCACATTATCTCTAGCCATTTGCCATGCACGCTGCTGGCTTCCCACCATGCTGTGTAAGTGAAGGGGGCATCTCGGCCATGGGCAGCGCTAGATGTTAGACACACTATATTGGCCAAACTCCCACATAATTAAACCTCTTAATGAAACCCCTAGACAAGCAAGGACTTAAATTATGCATTCTTTTTTTTTAAAAAAAGATTCTATGCTAGCGTACTCGGAGGCTATGTCTCCACTAGGAGCTGGGCTAGGGATCACCCAGCTTGCGGCCATGCACTCGCGCTAGTTCGCACTGAGTTAGCACAGGCAGGGACAGCCCCGCAGCCGCGGCAGCGCCCGGAGCGGAGCTGTGCAGAGCGCAACACCCCTGACCCTGCTGGCCAGGCACTCGGCCATGCCCACAGCCGGACTCACACATTCGGCACAGCACCTTCAGCGGCCCTCCCTGCGCTCCGCGGGAAACACCAAGCCCGCCCCCCGACCAAGGCCAGCACGGCTGGTTCCATAGCCGCTGACCCCACTGGCCAAACCCTGAAACCATCTCGTCCCCTTCTCGGCCCCAGCTCTCCCCTAGCTCGCTCACTGCTCCTACCCCCAGCCGCCCCGGAACTCCCGTGCCTCTGCCCCCCCGCCCCAGCACCGCCCCGGGTCCTCCCCGCAGCAGCGCTGCCCACAGGCGGAGCAGCCCCAGGGCAGCGGCGGGGCCAGGGCGCAGCCTCCCTGGAAAAGCATGACCCTCCGCCATGCACGGTGCTGCCAGCCCGAGCTGGGGCGCAGCCCGCCTGCCCCTGGTGAGGCGCAAGGGGGGGGCCCTACCTCTCCGCACGCCCAGCGGTCCCTGCTGCCCTTCCCGCAGCCCGGCGCGGCGGCCACACGCTGGCTCTGCCGGTGCAAGCGAACGGGGCGCTGGGCACAGGGCGGAGGCAGCGGGGCGGCTGAGATTGGGACGGGGCTGGGACGCTCCCAGCGCCTCCGGCAGCTGTTCCACCCAGCCACGCCCACAGCGCCCCCAGGCGGGCTGACTCGGACGCTCCCCCTGCTTGCCCCTAACCGCGTAACCCCACTTTTCACGTTTAGGTGCCGCTACAGGGCCGGCCTCCCCAGGCATGTGCCTACTGTGCCGGACTGAAATCCGGCCCCGCCCAAGCCGCTACCGGTGCTGCTGCGGTACGCTGCCATTTATACTTGCGCTAGCTGGATGGGAACTAGCGCAAATACGTGTCGGAGAGCTGGGGAACCACACCCTCGCGCAGACCTACCCTACGAGATCCTGCAGATTTTATCCTGTAGGTATATTAATTGTGGTGATTAGCTATTTAATTATTACAGAGCGCCCCCCCTTCTGCATTCCTTACTGAGACAAAACATCAGCTGATAGGTGAAGGGTCTTATACATCTGATGCCTGCACTATGGGGGTGGTTGTCTCATTCTCTGCAAGGCTTAGATCAGGCTTTTGGGCCTCCTGTCCCATCTGGCCTGATCCCACCTCATTCATTGACACTTTATCAGACATTGCCAGATGCCCAGTCTTTTGTGGGTTTTCCTTGGGTGAACATGTAGAAGTGTTTGCAGCTCACTGCATTCCCACATAGCCAAAGTTCTCCACATTATAATAAAAGCTTGTTCTCTTTTGCTCTATCAGATCAGTAGTGAAAAGTGGAGCTCTTCTCATAAATTGGTAAGCCAGCTTGTCTACTCTACGGACATTTTCTAAAAAGTTCTCACCTTTGCAAAGACTGGTGCAGCTGTGTTAGTTATAGCAACATTGGGAACCTAGAGGAGACATTGCTTCTGTGATCACAACCTTTTAAACTCCAAGTCAATTAAACGTGCTCTGTGCAAGCCTAAATAATATGATGCTAACTGCAATTATATCAGTGTTAGCAACAGTGGGACATTTAAATAAGATTTAGCCTAGTCTAGACAGATACCACCGTACAGTATCTGAGAGACAAGGTTATTGCGACAACTTCGGCTGGTGAGAGAGACAAGTGAAGCAGTGATGACTTGTCCCTTTTTCTTTTGTACATTTTTTAAACTAAGGGCCAAGATTCCCAAAGTGACTGTGATTTTTGGTGGCTCACCTTATGGGCGCTGAGCACCCATTCTCTGAACCAGGCAGACCCCTTCAAAGTGCCTCAAGTTGGATTCCACGTATACTTTTTTTCTCATCTATTGAATTCCATAAAATGCCATAAACAACTTCCCACAGAGCTACAGAACTAAAAGCATATAAGGGACTGCTGAAAAAAGTGTTGGAGTGTGGGTAACAGCCCATAAGCTAGGAAATAGTGTCATGGACACTGGAAAATACTACGTTTTCATTTCATAGAACACAGAAGGAAATTGACATTACATTCCTAATGCTTATGTTTATTATGAAATTGTCTCCAAATTAAAATAATTCACAATATTGATTGGTTCCATATTAAAAATGAAACCAAAAAACAATAAAACACAAAGTAACTCTCAAAGTTTTGCACAATATCTATGCATAAAACAATTCTAACTGCTTAATATAGCGCTGTACTTCAGACAGTGGAATTCTAACACATCGTATTTCTGAGAGAGTTGCTGAAGCACAGAACTGTCATGAAAACACAGGTGAAATTGTGTCATCCGTCCCACCCTGACTTTTCAGCTAAAAAGCACATATAACATCGCTAATGTGTAGGAAAATAAAGCCTTAGAATTCATGGACCCAGCTAAAGGGACTCAAAGCTCTATGGGACCCAGAATGTATGTGTTTTTGTTCCATAGATAATTTTAGAGCAGTAAAGGTCTACAGAACATTACAAATCACATGGTTTACAGTTTGACATGTCTGATCATTAAAGCTCTAGGCTTGATGGGATTCTAAACTGTCACACCATAATATATACACTGTTTCCTCCATTATTAGAACTGGAAGCTATTTCAAAAATGGAGAACTCAATACAGACACACTCAAACACTGTGTTTTCATTGCAACTACAATCAGAAACCCTTACAATGTAAAGGCTATATATGTATGTCAACTTTTCCAAACTTCCACCATTGTTTAAAAAAAAGCTGTCTTTGTAAAATTCCCATTAGGTCCCATTTCTAAACCAAAAGCACTCAAAGCATATAAATAATACAAACTGATTTTGCTTTGTGGTTTCAAGGCAACTGTAATTTACAGTACACTGTGAGGTTGGGCCTATTCTGGTCTATGTTACAACAAACGTTACAAAGTGTTCAACAGATCCTCTCTCACAAATCTCACAAGTAGTAGCTAACTGGAAATATACAAAGAATGAACTTTAGCAAACAGGATTTTTTAAAAAAATATCAAAGTATCAACAGTAGAAAACCAATGGCATCCTGTCTTTCATTGAGAATTACAGGAGGCTGGAATAATGATGTGCAGTTAAGTGAGATGAATAATACAGGCATTAGAGGAACAGCCGTGTTAGTCTGTATTCGCAAAAGGAAAGGAGTACTTGTGGCACCGGTTAGTCTCTAAGGTGCCACAAGTACTCCTTTCCTTTTGCGAATACAGGCATTGGATTTCTAGAAAATTCGGTGTAGCCTACTATGCGTAGTATCTAGCCAGAGACACTTATGTTGATTATCAATGGCATTTGGTTGCAGAGCAAATTTTTTTTGAAATAGTGTTGCGTTCATAGCTACATAGTGACTTTCTGTCACTCCTAATGGACTCAGATTTAACAGAAGAACCACTTGAAAGTACGTGAAGCTTTTTGTGCACATGGCTGGTTCTCTGAAAAGGGGTTTTGGCATTAGTGACTATGCTGAATGTTCACAAAGATTTGATGCCAGGTTGAAGTACGCACATCTGGATGCATATAGAGGGAAGCTGCGACCCATTCTACCTCTGTTGGAAACATTAAATGGAATAATCCATAGAAATATCTACAAAATGGCAACAAGGAAACAGCATGAGTCACATTTTGGTATTTTAGAACTGACACTACATAACCTTGGTCAAGACTCAAATCAATCTAAATTCCACCCCTATTTCTTTGATTGACTAGATCTTTAACATATTCTAGGACTCTCAACTTTTGATTAAAACCATGTTCTTTCCTTTTTGTATATTGCATGTCAATGCTAAAAAAGAGTAAATGCAACGAGAACTGAATCTTAGTTTACTGTGTGTCAGGGATAATTAGAAACGGAAGACAAATTCTTACTATTTGTTAATAAAGTCTGTCTGTTGCTTTTTCATTTTTCTACTTACCTATTCCAACCACAGTGTCTCTTAGTGTACTACCAAAAAAGGGAGCATAGAAGTTGAAGTGAGGCAAAAATGATAAATAGCTCATTAGGAGGCGAAGAGCTTGAAAATACTAATATATAGTTGGAATACAAATTCTTGTTTCTTTCGGAACTGGATAATGATGATTTGACATGTACTGATGTACACAACCTTCCAATCCTTTGCAATTATACAGAGCTGTGTGAACCATTTACAGGTCAGATCTCTTTACAAGTTTTGTGAAATACATCATTACCCAAAAAATATACAACAGCCATCAAAAGTGATCCATCCCCATTACAATTTCTCTCAATATAAGAGCATAAGCACAGGTTCAAATACAAACTATTTTTGAATGTATGCCACTCTCTTCGTGGAGTGAAACACTATTCTTCTGCAAAGGCTGAGTCAGAACTGTTTTGACTCCTGTCAATTGACGTAATGACCGAGAACAATACTGTAAAGCATGTTCAATCAAACCTTTTGAAGTTTTGGTCCTGTCTGATAAGGATGGGAGAAAGTTGCTGAATGTCCCAATTCCCTCAAATACTGTGAATTGAGTGTTTAGCAATGGTTCAGTGATGGTTAGCAAAGCTCTTCATACATTCTGATCCCCATCCCTATTTTTCCAACTACCCACTTTTAATATCACATCTTCCTCATGCAGATACATCTTAATTAGAGTCCCATTTCCTGCTACTAATAGGACTTGGAATGTCCAGGACAGCTGGAGAGGGCTGATAATGAAATGAGTGGGATACACCTGATGTAAAGGCCAGATTGTGATGACTCTTGCATGACTGTACAGGAGGGGAGGTGGAACCTCTAATTAATCTCTGTCCCAGATACTGACGTGGTGCTAGTGTCCTACGTACATTGCTATTTTAAAACAAGGCTGCATCCTTAGATAAAATGAAACATTTACCAGCATTCTAGAACTTTGGAGTTTCAAGAATTCCCAAACTTTTCTGAGACGCTCTACTTCTTACACCTTGCTTTGCATAAGGGACAGAGTCCAAACAGAGGCAGCCATCTACCCCACTAAACAGCAATGTTTAAGCCTTTATTCTTAATGATAGTCTTGGCAGTTGGCCTTTCAGAGATTATAATTTTTAATTCACTACATCCCATTAATATAGTCTCACCGTAAAAGCTCTCTCTCTATAATCCCAACATCAGCGTACCATTTCAGATCTCAGATTCAGGGTATTTTCGGTACAGACTAGTAGTGCATTTGCCTTTCCTTCCATCTCTTCCTCTCTGCCATTATTACATTTATCCTCCCTGAAGTGGAATGGCCATTTTTACTCTTGTTGCCTTGCCTTTACTGTCTGCACATTTTTGGCTAGTACAAAGGGCCTTTATGCATAATGATGGTTCCAGAGACTTTCAAGAACCAGCACAAAACACTAACTGGATAAAGAGATGGGATAAATATCAATCTTTCAAAAGAAATAAAATGGTCTTGTAGCTTTTTTCAGTACCATTCATATGGAATAAAGCCACTAATAATACTCTACGGCCTGAGAAATCATCTGCATTTTGATACTTGCATAGCGTGAGGAAACAAAAGCATTTTCTGGCTCACAGTGCTCCTGCTGAAGATGGTGCTCTCACCCCTGGTAATGTAACAGATGATTTTCTGTTTCTGGTTTACTCCTTCCTTCCTCTTTCTAATTTTCACTGTTGAAAAGCAGGATGCATAGGGACTGATCCCCAGAAACACTCCTACTGCTGGCACTGCCGTTGATAGCACAGAAGACTAAAGAGGTCCTCTTCGCAATACTTTACCCAAGGGTTTTCTAGAAACTGATGATCATATCAAAAAAGGAATAGTCTATTTCTATTCACACTGACTCCTTTGGGAGCACAGTTTGCTCCTACACCTAAATCTCAGATTGAATAGTAGAGCAAGATTATTTTACAGCTATTCCCAGCTTTATTTCTAGGTTCAATAAAAAATACTGATGTGCCCTAAAAGTTTGCTATGAATAAACTTCTCTGGGTCTGGTAGTGCAAAACATTCTGCAGTCTCCCTACTTCTGTATGACAAAAAATCTGGAATGATAAGAACAAGATCTCCACTGAATCCTGTCTGTTGAAGCAACCCGAATGTTCAGCTGCTGTTTTGTCATTGTACCACTGCTCGCATCCTTTCCAGCTCAAAGGAACAAATCCTCAAATTCAAGAATGAATTCTGGATTCACAACAGTGCACCTCAGCAAACATTTCTCTTCTGACAATGGATCATCTCTTAGCATGAAATCTATGCAAGAAACTGAAGTCTGTAGAGTTAAAACTTGCAAAGGAGAACTAAACTGCAAGTACCAAGTTTATCATTGCTGTTGACATAAAGGTATCTTGTGTATTTGAACAAGTAATCAAGTCTATTCTAATGTAATTCACCACCAATTGAGTTTAAAACAATGCTAAAGTAATACCCTACAATAACCACAGATTTGTCTGAATTGCTAATTGACCACATTAGACACCATTTAAAATATTAATCCATCGTTTTCAAACTTTACATTGGGGAAATGGCCACTGTGATTTTAGAGGTGATTTCAAAACTAGCACTTTAAAACACAAAGATAGCAAAACTATCTGGAGCGGAGCTAGAATCTGTAAAGCCATGTTATCGCTTACTGTGAGTGACAAATCAAGCAGACTACTACTTATAGAAGACTGGGCAACAGCAACAGGAATGGACCGAAGAGATCTTAGCATGTCGGTCTCCAGTACTGAGAATCTAAAGAGCAAAAGAGTAAGGACATTCCCTTTTGTCCGTAAGTCCCCAAACATATTCCAAATAAATAATATTCTAGGACAGTACAAATAAAAATACTGCTCCGATTGTGTCAATTACATACATGTACAGCATGCCTACATATACAGAATGGTGTGTCTCTTCATTCACAAACAGGAAATATGGCAGTGCACTATCAGTATGCTTTGATACTCCTAATTTTTTTTTCTGATGCTGAGATTATGAACAAACCGCATTCACAATTTATTATTTACTTCTAGTAGTAAAGAGTTCACTTTGTTCATGTTTCATGAGTTAGCTCAAGGATTAATGGTCCTCTGAACAAGTGCTACCAGTAAGATATCCATTTGTCCCGTTGGCACCACTGGTCCCATTCGTGGTGGTAGAGTTGTGTGGATTATTTGAACGAGGTACTGAATCATCCTCATCCGAACTGGACTCAACATCACTTCGGTCATCCTTTGCTACCTGAAGAACGTGTGAGAAGGAGCATGTTATGGGCTATTGCGTGACAACATAATGAAGCATGCACTAGTTCATGCCAGAATCAGAGAAATGAGAGCCTGAAGAGTCTTTTCAATCTGAATTTTAAAAGGGGCCTCAGACCTGATATGCTTTCATGCAATTACCTTCCTAGGCACCCTTCAAGCACTGATGGCTGCACAAAAGTCATTGGTTCAAAACTATCACCTGGGCACACAAGTGATAGTGTTCAGATATGTGTGCAAAAGTGTTTGCATACAGACCATTTGGAACTCAGGCCCTTTAGATCATTCCAGTCCATCTCCTTGCCAGTGCAAGATTGTTCTTTACAGTGCATTTTCTGGTATGTGGTCCAGTGTAGTGTAAAATGTCTCAAGTGACAGAATTCCCACCACTTCCCTGGGGAGACTATTCCACAGCCTAATTCATCACAGTATCAAAAATGTTTTTTTGAATATTCTTCCTAAGTTATCACTTTCTTAAATTTCCTCACACTAATTAATGAGAGGCCATTTGGGCCAGTGGACAGGGCACTGGACTGAGAGTCAGAAGGTCTGGGTTCTTTTTCTGGCTCTGCCACTGACCAGCAGCAAGTCACTTCACCTCTATATGCATCTGATACCACATCTGTGAAATGGGGAGAATGATACTTACTCTTCTTTGCAAAGTTCTTTGAAGTTGATGGTTGAAAATCATTATAGTAAAGAGGTGGGCATTATTATTATCAATTCTAGTTATGCCCCTGGTAGTTCCTCAAGTAATTCCTCTTCTCCTCGATTGCATTCCTCAAATGTATGACTTCGGTCATATAGTGTAAGGTGTAATGCGGCAAAGCCAAAAAGAGGCGGAAAGTAAAGAATGCTACAGTTGCCCTCACTGCCCTGTGTCAGGGCATGTATGTGTTTCCTGTGGTGGTGAGAAATGCAGTGCCAGCATGGGCAGCAAGCAATGAGAGGGGAAATCAGTGAAGGTGCATTAGGTACAGCCATAAGCCACTAATGGGAAGAGGCCTGCAGGCCAACAGTGATGTGCAACTTTAAAATTTTTCCTTCCATGTTTGGTTCTATTAATATAGATATTATTATATTACATGTATTAAGAAGCCATCCACGCTGTAACACCAGATTAGAAACACAGGCACTAGCTTTCTTCAGTGTGATAAATTTGTGTGAACTGGTGGGGGGCAAAAAATAGCTGACAAAGTGATTTCTCTGAAACGTTTAGTGCTCTTGGGTAAGAAATTTAACTCTACTTGTTTCAGTTTTTCCAGGGATCCTTCCACATTCCTGAAGAAGCCCAGAGTACCTCCCCGTCTTAATAGCCCAACTGCTTTGAAGGCTCCAACAGCAACCACCATCCTCACAATTAAGGATGACTGACATGACTCCTTTCAGACCACGTTTGTTAATTGGCCAACAGAGAATAGAGCACAAGGCACACTTGGCAGTTCCAAAGTACCTGCTAATAAGTACAGTCCCTAATGCCAATATCTTGTAATGCTGCAGCTGTGAAGCCCTTGAAATTAGACTTCTGCTCAAATCAGAATTTTCATTTTATACTCCTCAATTACATATTACTATGGACTCTTCCACATAATGGGACTTTTTTGTTAAAAGTCTTGAAATAAAATGATGCACTTTGAATTACACTTTAGTCAAACACAAGTTATGGGCTCAATACTGAGGTTAATGGGTGAAATTTAATAGCCTGTGTTATACAGAGACAAGGTGAGTGAGGTAATATCTTTTATTGGACCAACTTCTATTGGTGAGAGAGAGAAGCTTTCGACCCACTAAGAGTTCTTCCTCAGGTCTGGGAAAGGTACTCCAACAATCACAGCAACATGGAACAGATTGTTTAGCATAAGTAAGTAGCACACAGGGCCGGCTCCAGGCACCAGTGTTCCAAACAGGTGCTTGGGGTGGCAGTTTGAAAGGGGCGGCTGTTTTTCCGCCGTGGTGGCAATTTGGCGGCAGCTTCTCTGCTCTGCCGTCCGCGGCGGCAAATTGAAGGCAGCTTCTCCCTTTTGCCGTCTGCGGTGGCAGTTTTTTTCACTGCTTGGGGCGTCAAAAACTAGAGCTGGCCCTGGTAGGACATATTTAAGGGGCCATTCAAGGCAGAATGGCCTGTTAACACGTTACACATGTCAGACTAGATAATCTAATGGTCCTTTCTGGCCTTTAATTCTATGAATGTATGAAAATTTAGGGCTAGATCCTCAGCTGGTGTAAAACCAGCGTAACTATAGTGAAGCCCAGTACACTGCTCTAAACTGTGCTCCCAATTATTAATTATGTGATCAGATATTATATATTCAAAAAATGCAAAATGTATAAGCAGCAGGGTTTTTGTTTTTATAACTTTAGATACAGGTGTAGCACCTTGTTGTACTGTGTACTATTCAGTGTACGTCAAACAAACAGAATCCGGGTGGTCATTTATAATGACAACTACACGGCACACCATTTCTTTAAAACAAACTGCAGGGGACTGGACTAGATGACCTCTCGAGGTCCCTTCCAGTTCTGATTCTACAGATTAGGTATAACACAGAGTAAAGAATGAAAATAAGATGGCATATGTTGATTACCAAAATTAGCTGGTAAACTACAGTCATAGTTGATTACCTCATTAGCTCAAATGCACCTGATGAAGATTATTGCTGGTTGAAAATAAATTGAATATTATATGGCTGCTGACTAAATTATTAACATATAGACCTCACTGAAAAAGAGAACTTGTTGTATAAGTAGTTGTGACACAGACATGCCCAGACAAGTATATTACCCCAAACCATCTTCTCAATATTTCATCAAAAGGGGAGTCATGGATAGTCTCTGCCGAAAGCAAAGAACTACTGATTGTCACAGTTATTGAGAGATGTTTGTACAATTTTAGAGCTATGTAACATGTAGAATATTGTATTCCTACTCTGTTGAGAGTGAAACCTATCACCTGAGATCTGACCCATTCAACATGAGAAGGGACATCCATGGACTGACCCGGTTTGTATTTACAGTCTAGGCCAGATACAGTCTTCAGCATTTTCAAAGACAAAAGAACCCCAATAAAAGTCTCTGAACAGGGGAGCCGTGGGTTGAAGGACAATAGTCTGTAACTGTGTAAGAGAAGAAAAAAAGAGGACAGGGAGGATTACAAAGGAGTGACTATGCCAGCAGGGGTTATCTCATGAATGTTAGGTCCCAGCTTTCTAGACTACAAGTGCTGTTTAGCACTCATTTGGATGTGAAATACCTTATCAGACAGGAAAGTAACTTAATAACTATAACTATAGTAACTATAGTTTGTGTCTTATATTTTTCTTTTACCTGTAGCCTGATGTTTCCAAATCCTTTTATGTGCCTGTATTTTGAATCTTTATCTCATGCTCTCGCAAATAAACTTTAATTTGGTTTTACTATAGATACATCTGAGTGCCTCGTGCTAAGAAAAATGTTGAACTGAGATGAAACTGGTGAAGTGGAGGTGAACTGAATGGAGGCAGTGGATTGGTGTGCATTGAGGGTGTCCAGAAGATAGGGAACTTGGTACTCCAGAGTAACAGAGTGGGGTCTGTAAATTGCTAGCTTGCAGAGGGAAAGAGCAGCGCTTGTATATCCTGGAGCAGCTTGTGTTGCCAGCAGCTAGCTGGTGGCTGGAGGGAGTTTCTCCTTGTGGGCAGGAACAAGACTCGCGCCTGCTGTGAGCAGGTGGTAGTGATTCACCCCAGACACCTTGGGTAACCCCAATAAGCGTCCCAATAGTCCAACTCAATAAAAAAAAATTAGACTATTATAACAATGACCCAAATTGCAAGAATGAGAAAAAAATGCTAGGATACCACACTGTATATTTTCTTGTATTGTATTACCTGAGAAACAGAACAGTATGTGATCATGTAAGTTAACATTGCATTGTTGAGAGCAGAGTTAAGCTTGCAGGTGCATCCTTAACCTTAAAAACAATGAGAAATCCAGTGGCACCTTAAAGACTAATCTGTAATTTTCACTCCATGCATCTATGAAGAAGTGGGTTTTTTACCCACGAAAGCTTATGCCCAAATAAATCTGTTAGTCTTTAAAGTGCCACCGGACTCCTCGTTGTTTTTGTGGACACAGATTGACACGGCTACCCCTCTGATACTTGACATCCTTAATCTTGTCATTTCCTTATTTCTGAATGCTTAACTCTGCAGCCTTAACAATGTTTTAACAGTTTTCTTTGACGGAATTAATTTAAATTTAAATTCAATTCTTTAGGTAGCTGACATGCACTGAAATGCACAACCTGAATGGTGCCAGAGCAGAGGGTTAGGCTACTCTACAGTCTATGATGTTTATTTGTATTACAGTGGCTAGACACCCCTACCAAGACTGGAGTCCTTTGGGGTGAGGCTCTGCCAGTGCTTAATTTGTAATGAAAGAGGTGCCGGGGCTCAACCAATTAAGTGCTGGCGCTCATGCAATTTTTTTACTTTCATAACGGATGCGACAAGCCTAGAGGTGCCAGGGCTCAGCCCTGGCAAGTGTTGGCACACAGTAAGCACTGAACACTGCACAAACACAAAGCTTGAAACAGTCCCTGCCTCTAAACACAGAGCCTAAGCAAGAAGCAGATGTAACAATCAGAAGAATCAGGGAGGAAGGACATAGGGAATAGCAAAACATAGATTTGTGTGCATGCGTCTTTCGCGCAGCAGAATCAGAGAAACTTACATGCAAAGGGTTCCACTTTCCAGCCTTCCAGGACAGCACAAGGAAAAGGATAAACAAGTAGAGTAAGGAAGTCAGAGTATTGCTGGTGTGAAATCAGGATCACTGAGGCTTAGAATTGCTAAAGCAGAGGTGTCCCAACTGTGGCCCTCAAACAAAAATCACAGACCATGGCAGTACACATCTTTAATACAGAGGGGGCAGCAGATATCAGGTGGGCTCAATCCAAAAAGGAGCTGCGCACTTTGGCCGCAATCTCGTCAAGCAGTTAAGCACATGAACAGTCCCATTCATTTCAGTGGGACTACTCACATGCTTAAAGTTAAGCACATGCTTAAGTGCTTTGCCCCTTGTTAGTCCGCACCCACAGACAGGATGGCTCGGCATCTTGATTTGAGTAGTCTGGACATATTGTATTGCTTGTAGACACTGTGAACCACACCCCTGTTTTTAAATAGAAGGGTGGCAACAATGTGTTAATTTTGTACAAAGAGGCATGGCCCTTTGGCTCCTGGAAATATGGCCCTTTGTTCAGCCAAAAGGCCCCTGATGCTTAAGACTGTAAAGAGTTCAGACCCACATCTCTGCCAATTACCAAAGAGGCAGCATGACAGGTTTCAGTTAATTTTATTGTTCTTCTCAATTGGGAGGCAGACATTTTTCACCAAATATTCTATGAAAGGAAGTAAAACAGAACTGGCAGAATGCAAACAAGTGCTATTTACACAGCTCCTATATGTGTAGTGGGATTTGACACACCTATTTTTAAAAAAGGAAGCATTAACCACAACATAATCCTAGTCTTAAAAATGCATGTATTTGGAGTTCACACATCTAGTACATTTGTTATCAAGGAACAAAGCTAGTAAGCGTTCCATTAAAGGAAGGAAAAGCATATCACAATACAGCATCTGTCCTCAAGTCTGTGTTTTGGGTCAGAAAAAGAACAAATCACTGGACAATTACTAAGTGCTATTTACTAATTTTAAAAACGTTACAAACAAAATGTTTACTGTAAAACATCAGACAGTGTTTGTGTCACCTTACCTTGCCTCTGGAGATAGCTTTATAAGCTGCTTTTACGATTAGATAAGACCAAAAACAGTGCAGGACTTGAAGTACTATGAGCAACATGTTAAAGAACCACAAGGCAGGAAAATTGCCCAAAGCTTCATACAATTCAAACAGCATTGTGTTCAATATCCTAAAAGAGAGAGGGAGACAAAAATACTTACATTTCGTTCAAGTCAACAGTAATCTAAAAAGGAGCCCTTTTTCTAATTAAGATGACAAATATTTGATTAGATGGTATCCACACACATATTCAATTCTCAGATTTATAATGACAGACTGAATAGCACTGGAAGAGGCGTGATAAAGCGTCATCTGTGCCTCTGTGTCTCAAGAGGTAAATGACTGCATAACATCACCTTCACTATTTAATTTCAACCAGCAAACACCACATGTAGAAAGCAAAAGTACTACACTTCCTCACCCCCCCCCCCCCTTTTCAGAGCTGGTGAGTAACCAGACACGGGTTCTCTCTAATACCTCTTTATCCTGGACAATCCCAGGGGAATGACAGATTCCCATTCTTCAGATTATTTTCCTCCTCACATAGAGTATACCCTTTCCACCACGTCCATCAGAGGCTAACAATGAAACACTTAAACAAGAGGGACACCTCTCACTTCCAGGTAACCTAATTCCTCTGAGGAGGGACCTTAAAATCATACTATGCCTGAGTACAACATAATGCCACCAACACTCCACCCATTTTACCGGTATAATAAAATGACAGTTTTCCCCCTCTCTGAAAGGGATTTGTCTGATTTGGAGCAAAAAGATATATAAAAAATAGTAACCAATACTTGCTATCAGACACTTCTTATGACAAAGAACATTCAACTATATGGCAGTAAATTCATTATTAGAGCATTTGTCAATACTATTTACAGGTCTGTTAATGTTTTTACTGTAAATTCCTAGTCTTGACATGAGCAAAGCCTGCAGTGATGGTCTGTTGATCTGAACCTGTACTATGAGACAATTCAAGTAATAAGAGACTTCAGCACTTGTGGTATATAAGGCAATAGCATGCCTATGATAGGACTCAGAGTGTAATAGGAATTAACTCATTCAACACTTGAAAACTAAAATAGTGCTTGATACAATCTGGGTCATAGTGAAGAGTGAGGCAACAACCGAAACTAACAGGAGATTGGGCAATAATAGGATGTAGGTAGAAGAAACAAGCAGTACATATGGCAACATATGGCTATCTAGGAATGCTTGATACTTTCGGGAGTCAATTAAAAAATGAAGAAGATCATGAAGGTTTCTGACATCCCTTCTACTCTATACCCCTGCTGCTATCAAAAGTATTGGAAAGTTCATTGCATTTAATATTTAAAAAATTAACTATCACTACATAGCCAGCAGATGGCATATTTAAGCAAGCTAACAAATGCACAGCTTTCAATCTGCTCTTGTTATGCTGTGTTTAGAACACAGAAATCTAGCTAATGTCCTATAGGGCTTTAGAAAAGTTCAGATCTCATTCTCTCGGACTATATCAGACTGTGTTTGAACTTTGACATGTCTCGTATACTTCAAGAATTCTTTTTACCTAATGACTGACGAGGTCACTATTTTCCCCAAAAACGTGTGTGTATAACTCCGTCACTATTAATGGGAAATATCCAAATGCAACAAGTACACCCTCTAGTATTTATGATTTAATTAGGATAAAACTGTTTCCGTTAAAATTAGTAGATGGTTTCTAATAAACTAGCGTAAGCAGATTAGTCTTAAAGCTGTAGAGCATCAGAATGCTGTTTTGATTCTATTTAACACTGGTCTTTTTTTATTCCTGGTCCATCCCTTATACTAAATTGTATCTGCTTCATAAATCTTACAATACATTTTGTGAGAGAGGGTTGTTTCATTGCTTCATTATACAGTATTACAATTCTTTCTGTTTACGGCATAAACATTAGAAAATGAAAGTTTGCAGTTAAGGCTAGACATTTGGCACATGAATGCTGTTACTAGCTAAGATTTATAGTCTTAGCTTTGTGCAATTTGTTCGGTCAACAGTAGCGCTAAATGGCACAGTAATGTCCCACTTCGTAATCCAAGGTGACACACTCTATGCATATCAAAACATAGCTTTAGTCATCTTTGCTTATTTCATCGGTAGTTATTTCAGTTCTAAATTACAATATCAAACTCAACTTTTAAAATAAGCAGCTCTTGCATGTAAAGTTAATCTCCTTTTTGATGTCTAAAAACCTACACATTCCAGAACTGTAAAGAGTAGTTATGCTGCACCAGGGATGAATATGGCCCATTCTAACAAAGTCTGAAATCTTAAGAAGATAGAGAGGCCGTGGAGAGCATGTCTGAGGCCTAAAGTAATATCACTGCACAAATGAGTTACCTGCTGGATATCAGGGATGGGAAATAAGCATCCATCAAAAGATCAGAACCCTCTCAGATCTGCTCATGTCTGACAGATTGAGGAACAAAATAGAACTTTCCAGTAAGTGTCTGATATGGCTTGCACAAAGATTATTGCACTGACTACTCAAAATGCAATTCAGTGACATGACACAATATGGTAGGCACGGGAGAGACAGCTGGGTCTTTAAAGATAATCGTTATGCAATTCAAGTACGTAATGAGAAAGAGAAATAGAATATGAACATAGAAGACCACAGAAATATCAGACAGGTAAAAAATTGGTTTATGCCCAAAAGAAAGAATATCCCATTTTGGAAGGCTATGTAAATAGGGATCAGCTGGTTAGGTAGGAGTGAATATGAAGGGAACTGGTTCTATATTTAGATTTTCAGGGCAGGAGACAGGCAAGGCCACTAAATTCCCCAAACCACCCTTCCTACTTCCATTCTTCAGAAGACTCATTTGAAACATTAATCATATACAATAAACACTAGACTAAAACAGAAAGCCTTCGGTGGCAATCGCACAACTAGGTTAGTTCCGGGTAAAATTTACAAAGGGGCCTAAGGGCCAGATTTTTTGAAGTATTTAGGTGCCTAAAACTGCAGTTAGGCACCTACTGGGATTTTTAAACGCACCTAGGTGCTTAACTCTCAAATTTTCACAAGTGTCCACTGATTGTGGAAGCCACCATTTTTTGTCTGCCTGACCTGACACCTTGAGCTTGGTTTCCAGAGGTGATCTGGTTAGAGCTGCTGGAGCTCTGCACTTGTGAAAATTATGCCCAAGATGTCTCAAGCTGGCCATATAAAAACTTAGGCACAAAAAAATCAGAGACCACTTCTGAAAATTTGGCCCGAGGCAACTTGCTCCTGCTTCTGAGCCAAAGGAGGCAGAACCTAAATGAACATTACTGTGAGTAGCACTAGCTTCTATGGTGTTTCCCAGCATATAATATACCGTGTTTCTAGGGAAGACTGCTACACTGAAGGGCTGCTCCTCATGTCTACCTTCCTCCTGGCCAGTCATTTTTCCCCAAATTCACTTAGCGAAAAAAAGGCACATGTTGCCATAATGGGGCAGCCAGCAGTTACGCGGAGACAGGGGAGAGCAAAACGTGGAGCCAGCACACCCCTGTGTGTGGCTCATCTGCCATTTCAGCATAGTTGTCCTGCTTTTGCTTTAACACTTCACAGGAGTGAGACATCCTGCAATACCACACCCACCTCATAGCATATCGATAGCTAGGTATAAAAGCAAATGTAATTGTAACTTAAACCTTCTTACAAGCGTGTTCAATGATCATGTCAGTTATTTTTCAGCAATGATTGTTTTGTCCTTTCCTGGATTTTTTGCCTTAAAAACATTTCTATTTACTCTTCCACTTCCAAAAAAAGAGAGCTGGAGAGTTTCCTTGCTCCAATGTCTGAGGCTAGTCAATATGAGCAGAGAACTGGAAGTCAGGATTCCTGGGTTCTATGTTTGGCTATTCAAGTAACTTGCTGTGTGATCTTAGGACACTCAGCTGAGTTCCCTGTAAACTGCGTGGCTGCGCAATGGCCTATTTAGTGTTGCCCAGACACTCAGGGAACCTGCCCAGCCGGGACCTGCCACAGCCAGGTGAGGGGCATCCACCCCCGGCCCCAACTCAGCTCCGGACTTGCTGCGGCCAGGGAGGGGTGGCTCAAACCCAGCTCTGGCCTGGACCTGCTGGGATGCCCGCCCCATCCCCAACCCAGCCCTGGAGCTGGGGGAGGGGGCCCATCCCGTGGTCCCAGCCCCGGAGCTGGCACGGCGCCTCTCCCCCCAAGCCCAAGTGCTGCATGGGGAGAGAGAGCTGGGGGGGAGTCCTCTCTCCCTGCCGTAGCCCTGGAGCACCCTCCTGCAGCCCAACCCTCTGCCCCAGCCCTGAGCCCCTCATTCCTGGTCCCACCCTGGGGCCTTCACCCCCCACACGCCAACCCTCTGCCCCTCATCCCCGGCCCCACCCCAGAGCCCACACACCAACCCTCTGCCCCACCCTTGAGCCCCCTCCCACACTCCGAACCCCTCGGCCCCACCCCCACCACATGTATTTTGTTGTGTGCACCAATATGAAGGTGATGTGTCACACATCAGCTCCACATTGGTGCACACAACGAAATTCATTCCACACATGGGTGGGAAAAATTAGAGGGAATACTGACACTCAGTACGCCTTTGCCTCAAGTTGCTCATGAAAATGGATATAATAGGACTTTTACCTGCCTCACAGGGCTGTTGTGAGGCTTCATTCATTCATTAGTAAAGCACTTGGAAGAAAGGAAGAACAGTAAGGTTGAAAAAAATAATGTTGTGGGAGGCAAAATACTCCTCAGCCCTGTCCAATCTAGACTCACAGTTAAGGCAGTGGTCTCTCTCTTTACCAGCTGGAAGGATGTGGAGAGACAGATTCTCAGTCTTTTCTAATCTCTATAGCTTCCATGGAGCATTCAAACGTAGTTAGTCAATAGTGTAATGATTCAATGCACTTTAGCATTATTGACAATCTCTGCTCCCAACACATGCACAATATACGCAATACATGGCACCCCAGAACAGCATGTTTGCATCAGTTATTTGTGCCAGAGAAATATCTGCTTAACCCCAACTCCGCAGTATCCCAGTTAAGTTAGAACATTGGGCACAGCACTGTTACTACCTCTATCCCCTGTCGTGCACACTAGAACGCACTGAACACCAGACAGAATTACTGCTATT